TTACAAGTCCAAACAAATCCTACCCTGCGTTAAGCTAAGTGGACTGTTATAATTTCTTACTTAGTTATATATTTTATTATTATTATTATTATTATTATTATTATTATTATTATTATCCCCTTGTTTTTGGTATTTTTTATGGGGTTGTATTGTTTTTGTACTCAGTGCTGGTGAGGAATTACTTGTCGTACATAAAGTGTATTTCCTCCACTGGTTGGGTTTGGTATATTTGTTTTCCTAGCTTGTGAGAGATTGGTTCGCATAGCTTGTGGAGCATCGTCGATGGAGGAGATGGAAAGTTTGTACTTGACGATTGCTGCTTCAAGAAGTTTGCCGAAAGAAGTTTTCTTTTGCGTTTATTTGTTTATTTATGTTCTTAGGCATACTAACAGGGCTGCCCATCGCGTGGCACAAACGGCCCTTGCATCGGTAGCAACTCTTTTAGTTGACTCCACTCTTTCATTTTTCACCGCATTGTAATACCCTATCTATTACGATCTATCTATGACAAAAAAAAAAACCATCAAGAAAAACAACGGAGAAGTTGCTCCCTCTACTCTCTTCTCTTCCATGAAGAATAATCATGGTTCTCTCTCTCCTCTCTTCCTCCCAGTCTCACCATCACACAATGGAGAAAAAAACAACAACACAAACCAACCACAAGTACTACTTAGCGAGCCGCGTATGAAACTATGAAACCACGGTTCCCAACCTTTAGACTCAACATCAGTTGCTCAATTAATTAAGTTGAGAATCAATTTAATAAACTCTGATCTGTTCCTGATGACCAGAGCCTATAAACTACCAAAACAATCTATTTGTTTTCTATTGCTCAGATAAAATATTTTACTCTCTCTCTCCCCCTCATCAACACGCTTTAAACTCCCTAATGATACGGGTTGATATTATATAGCCATAGATAGGTTTCTAAGATATATACAAATCTTACGCGGTCGTTGTTAGTTTCAGTTATGCCTGTATTGTTAATTAGGGTTTAGCTTCTTTAATTTTTGTTTAGGGTTTCGCTTTCTTTATGTACGTTAAGTACATGTGGTGGACGCGCGGGTAGCAACTGCCAAGGGGCCAGGGGGGAAGAACAACGATAACCATAATTAATTGACGTTAAATCATAACATAACATGGCTTGAGCTTATTTGCCGCGTTAATCAATTATCAGATCGGTTTTGTCAACTAAGAATAAATTAATTGTGTTCATATTTGGACAAACATTTACTGGTCACATGCCATGACTGAGCCAAATTTATTAGTTGATATAATTGATTAGGCCAAGATGGTACATGACTTCCCACTCCTTTTCCTTTTTTTTTTTGGTGGAACCCACTCCTTTTCCTTTGAACTCATATTATGTAAGCACACTCAGTTGTCTAATTAATTAACTTGAGAATTAATTATTATAATAAACTCTGATTCTGATGATAAGCCTATAAATTATTTACTTTCTCCATCTCCTCATGTATCATCAACGCGCTTTTTCCTTGTACGGAAACTCTCCCCACTGACACGGTTTTAGGGTTTTAATATGAAAGTGAAACGTAGCTACGCGTTCCTTAGTTTCAATTATGTCTGTATTGTTAATGCCAATATAGACTTCAGTTTAACTCTTTTTTTAAAATACTTTCTTATTGTCTGAGTTTGGCTTACTTTGTATATGTAACTTTAATTGCATTGGACAAACATTTTGGTGGTCACATGCGATGAGCGATCGAGGTTGGTTGGTTGGTAACTTAATTAGGCTAATAACAGTTAGCAAAGTTGTTCTGTAACTTTCAAATCAAAGTCACATGCAATTTATTGTCTTTGCGCAATGGATTTCAGAATGTAGAAGTACAAGGGGAGGTTGTATATGAGGCATGTGTAGGGGCGACGTGATCATGGTTTTGTGAAACCTTATCGTAGATGGTTTCGAATAAGCTATAGTCGAATGGTAATTCACGATACAATCATAATTTAGTTGCTAGCATCTATAATAATCAAGTTATTTTTACAAGTCGTTTGTTTCATGAATTTAGATAATGAATTTGAGTCTCAAATTCAATTCATGATCATGGACTTTGCACCAAATCATTGTTGGCTTGAAATTTGCTGGGGGTCAATTTTGTGGACTCCATAGACTTTGAAGATCCAAATTGAGGTTTGTAAATCACATGTCAAAGAGATGAGATTTGAGTCATGACATAAATCCATGATCTAATCAACCAAAATCCATAATATATAATAGACACTTTCAAATTCATAATGCCAACAAATCCCCCGTAAGTCTGTTTTTCAAAAATCAGGTTTTCCCAGAACCCTCTCTAGTCACAACCCTTCTTCCTGTTGTGAGCTACAATCCCACCATAAAAAATTAGCCAAAAGACCCAAATTTTGCTTTAGTAATTAACATTTGAGAGAAAATTTTGAAAACTCACCTTCTAAGTTCAATTAATATAGCCTTTAACCTAATCTCTTCTTCCAAATAAAAGAAATACACAACCGGTAGCCAATGTTTGCTATACTTCTGGAGATACATATGGTATGGACTTATTTGTTGTTTATTTAAGGGTTAATACCCTAGTTTGGCCCGAAGTTTAGCGTTAGTGACAGTTCTGACCCCATTTTTCAAATAAGACATTTATGGCCCACTTTTGAAATTATTTGACAAATTTGGCCCGACGTTTGGGTTGACCGTTAAAATTGATGGTCAATGATTTTTTCTGTTAGTGACTCAACATCCTATGCTAAGGTGGCTACGATGTGGCTGCCACGTCATTTATTTGACTTGAAAAAAATAATAATAAAATAGATAAAGCTAAAACTAAAACTAAAAAAATGTGAAACTAAAAACTCCTAAAACAACTCTCTCTATCCTTACTCCACCTCCGCCGCCGCTCTCTAGTCAGATTCAGTTCCAAAATCAAATCCCATCGGAATCGGCTCCGGGAAGAGAGGAGCAAGGATGGATTCTTCTCTAGCTGGTCGGGAAGGTTGGACAGGTGATGCAACCCGGTGATTGGAGGAGGAAGAGACTAGTGCAAGAGTGGTTGGATGCGGGAGAGAAGGACCGACTATCACGGCGGAGCAGACATCACCGCCCATCACCGCCATCTTGGCGCTGACGCTCACCGGGATCACGTGCGTCTGCCCCAAAACCCCATTCAAATCGCCGATCAACCCTAGATTCAGATGCGCCGGCCCATCGTCCTAGGTCACGCCGCAGTTTTAGATCCGCGGATACTCCTGTGTAATCGGCATGACCCTGGTGGCGCCTTGTCTCTCCAGGAGGAGTAGCAGCTCGCCATCGAATATGAAGAAGAGGCGGTCGATGGGAGCAGTGATTTGGGGCTCCCCAGTGCCGCTTCTTTGCTTGGGTCGATGGGAGCAGTGATTTGGGGCTCCCCAGTGCCGCTTCTTTGCTCGACTCTTCAACTGCGGCTTCCTTCCCCTTAGATCCCACTGGTTCTGGTTTGGTGTTTGTTCGTTTTGCATACTTCAATTGGGGATTTATTTATACCACTGCCATTGCCCATCAATTCATGAATGAGGATGAGGAAGAAAAAGCATAGGAGAGGAATTGGGATCTAGAGAGGCGAGGGTCGATTTGAGAAAAGAGAAGCTGGGAGGTGGATTTAGGGGAGGAAGGGTTAGAGGAGAAATAATGTTATTTATTTATTTTTTGTTTTTAATTAATAATAGAAATGAGGTGGACGCCACCTCAAGATAAGATGTTGAGTCACTAACGGAAAAAATTGTTGACCGTCAATTTTAACGGTCGACCCAAACGTCGGGCCAAATTTGTCAAATAATTTCAAAAGTGGGTCATATATGTCTTATTTGAAAAATGAGGCCAGAACTGTCACTAACGCTAAACTTCGGGCCAAACTAGGGTATTAACCCTTTATTTAACGATATATATCCTCATAGTAGCAAAATTTCAATAACTATTAAAATCTTCCCGCGTATAAGCTACAGTAGGTTCATGAATCACAAGTTTTCATCTACTTCACTAAAATCAAACCAGTTCATTTCACACTCTAATACTTGCTAATTAACTTCTTCCAACAAAACAAATTGTACTCTTGCTACTTAGTACTAGTGCCTCACAAGAAAACACCAATGTTTTCTAGAACAGTTGAAAAATGAGAAGGACCACCAACCATATATATATATATATATATAGTTAAAACGGAAACGACAATCTACATTGAACCCTAATACTCTTTTCGTTAGTATTGATGGAGTTAATTAATCCAAATCAAGGGGGGGAATTGGTTGAATTTCCTTCCTTTTGACTAATCATTTGTCATGGCATTATATTCTAGATTAGATGGCCAAACTAAAACTAAACATTATTAGTCCTATCTTTTGCCGTCCGGCAATAAACAATCATTTCTCAATCTCTTATTAGGACCAGTACTAGTGTGACTCCTTGACTACGTACCAATTAAGGGATTTGGTTCATAAGATCTATCAATAACACTTTGAACATATTTTTTTAAGTAATCAAGTAGTAAAGATATACTAATAAATTCGTTATAATAATTTTGTCTCTTCAGTGTACTAAGAGACAACACATAATTTGCCAAAATAGAAGGATAACTATGAGAACGACCATTCATATTTATTATGTTACTTTCATGAGAAATCAAATTAATATGCATATATGCTTATGCCTGTCTTGGGTAAATTTAGATGGGACTTGTTTTGGAAACTGTGGCATGACTAATATATTCGACATGCAAAATATATAACCAAACATTTTAGCTAGGGTGTCACCCTATTTGAGATTTATCATAACTTTGCATGTCTATTACATGAGCAAAATGTATAAAGTACGGATTTATGCGCAAATAAGTTATGGTACCTGACTAATTAGGAGTATGACATAAACATAATATTATTAGTTTTGAGATCCTCTCCAAAAAAAATTCGAGCAGACATGAAACTCTCAGGAAAAATAATGCTCCTATATATATATCGAGAATTAAAACAAATTTTCTTACCCACGTGTCACAAATATTCGTTCGATCGAACGTCTCATTAAGGAATTCTAATTACATTAACAATCTTCTTCAACGCATTTAAACACCAAAATTACAGCAAATTAAAAGCATCAACGAGCCATGATCACTTCAAATAACATTAATAATATTGCTGGGAACTGGAATAAGGAATTAACAAAAGGTTTGGTTTGAAGTTCTTGTTTAATAAGAGGTCTGAACAGGATCAGCATAGCTCGTTGATTCCCAAACGAACCACATTATAATATTCAAATAAAGTTAACCATGATAAATTAAATAAATGGAGAAAAAAGTGCTAATCACAAAAGAAACTAGTTAATAAACCCCATCGTCCATAATCAACAAACTCCCCACGTCTCCAAATCACCTTTTTAATTGTCAATTATTGTTATTGGTTAAGGTTCGATCGAACCCCCTCCAAAACAATTGCCTAATTATAACGCAAATCGGGTCGGGTTGGGTAATTTTGGGTTGGGAATTTCGGTTACGGGTCGGGTCATAATTGGTTGGCTTATTCGGGTCAAATATTGACCCAACCCATTCGGTTTCGGGTCGGGTTACAGGTCATTTCGGGTTATGAGCGTTCTCGGAAACAATATTAAACATGCTTCATATTTTCTTAAAGAACACAAATTTTCACATATGCATGACAATAGTTTACGTAACACATGTCAATTAACATATTCTCAAATCCTCCCATGCTAATGAAATGAAATATAAATTGTGCAAATCGTCAAAAAACAATCACAAGAGTAATACTACTACAAGAAACACATGATATTTGATTATCCTTAAACTCCAAACATGTCATTCAAATATTTGTGATTTTCTTAAAACATCTCACCAATTTATGACTGATTTTATCATATTTTGGGAGTAATATATTAAATGGAACGAGTCTAACAGGTCGACTTGCTAACCCACCCAACCCGACCCAAAAAATCATGGATTATCGGGTTCGGATCATTCGGATTACAAAAATGTCTAGTTTTCAGGTGGTTTCAAATCGAGTCAACGGGTTGGTTTGTAATTTGTCAGGTCTACATATCCATGACCAGAAGCCTACATTTGACTAATGATTAATTAATGACATATTTACAGATTTTTTTGGGGGAGGGTGGGGGGGGGATATAATTATTTATGGAATTCTTTTATTTCTAGAAAGAGGGAAGTGGCAAGAAAGTAGCGTAGGCCATTGGAGATGGAGATTACTCTCTCGCTCTCTGCATGCATCATGCTGACGCTACCCAAATTCGCGTCACCTTCTTACGTCAGCACCCCCAGATTAGTGATGAATTAGTGCCCCAAAACAAAAACAATCCTTTTTCATTCATTTTTCTTTTAAATTAAAAAAAAATATATGAATCTTCCATCTGTCCTTCCTATTTCCTTTCATTTCTTCTCCCCACAGGACAATTTATTCTACAGATCCTTCCTCCTCCCTTCCTTCACTTTGCTCCTCTCTTTCTTTCCCTCCCTCCAAAATCCCCACAAACACAACAATCTCTCTATATAACCAAAAAGCCAAAAAAAATCCTCTGTACTTCATCACTTTCCACACACACCCAAACCAGTGAAAAAAAGAAGAAAGCTTTCCTCATCTCTTGCCATTTCCAGCCACTACCCATCTCTCCAAACATCCTGCTCTCCAATGGGTACTTCCTATTTCAGCCAAAATCCCACCACACAGGGCGGGAAGAAGCAGGAGATCACCATCATCAAAGAGCTTGTCCAGGGCCAGGAATTCACTTCCCAGCTCCAGCTCCTCCTGCAAACCCAGTCCACAAATGGAGGAGGAGATCTTCAGTACTGTTACTCGTCCACAACTACTGAACTTCTTCACAAGATCTCGAGGTCCTTCACTGATGCCATCTCTGCTCTCAGCACCGCTGCTAATGGCAGTAGTGATCATGAGAATTTTCAAGCTGTTTCTCACGGGGAGCAGCAGTCGTCTGCCGGATCCGGCCCGTTCGAGGAAGACTCCGGCGAGAGCCGGAAGAGGCCGGCGGCGGCGGTGGGGAAGAGTGGTGCCGCCGGGAGGGACAACCGGGGGACGTACAAAAGAAGGTATGTAAATGTAATGATTGTCTATTGTGTGCATGCCACCTAATCCTATCTTTTTGTCGACAATAAATCTTTGATCTTCGTTAATAGGTGGTATAAGATTGAGTGAATTAACTTAATATTATAGTTATCAGAACTAATTGTTCATTTTTTCGCTTAATATATGTTATAACATTTTACAAGTGTTCTGTTCGAATCCTGATAATCCAATTTGTTAAACGTACAATCGGGCTTTGTTCTTGACAATTGTTACCACCACACATGGATGGACATGGTCTTATCCGACTTTGTCACAATGATTGATCGAATTGCTTTATGTCATGTCCATTACACAGGAAGGCTGGCCACTCCAGCGTAATAATCTCGCCGTCGTTTTCACAAGACGGCCATGGTTGGAGGAAGTATGGACAGAAGGAGATTCTCCATGCCAAATTCCCTAGGTATATAATTAATCAGATTCGAGTGAACTCATTCACTTCTTCAAAAGCGACTAATCGACATTACATGTGCTGATAATATAAATTGGTGTCTAATGTTTACAGGAGCTACTTTAGATGCACTCACAAGCACGAGCAAGGTTGCAAAGCCACGAAGCAAGTGCAGCGGCTCGAACAGGAAGACGAGATGTACTCCATAACTTACCTCGGCCACCACACTTGTGAAAATGCCCTGGCGGCGGCGGCGGCAGTTCTTCCACCGGTCGTGGATGCTAGCGCCACCGCGGCGGCGGTAACGCCGAGTGTGAAGCAAGAGGTTTCTAATAACAATGAAGAGAGCCCGAGCGGGGTGACGGTTGATAACAATGAGGTGATGATTGGGAATGATGGGAACATGACCATGTGGCAGGATTTCGTGTCGTTCGATCTGGAAGCTGAGGAGGCGGTTAGCAACTACGGGTACGATTATGGTAATTACGATTTTCATGGCCATAATGTCGCTTCTGATTCCGGAATTTTGGATTTGAAGTTTTCGGTCAAGGACATTGATTTCGACGATGGGTTCAGGTTTGATTCTGAACAGAGCTGTGGGTTCTTCTAGGGTTTTTTTTTTTTTTTTTTTTTGTATAATTAGTACAATGTGTAATTATTGTTGTAAGTTAAAAGTACTGGTTTTGCAAGAGTAACTAGCTATATAGGAAAGGATGGATGAATGTCCCTTTTCAGTTACGTACCACCCAAGTTTCTGAAATTTGTGCGATGTTAGCTATATATATACTATGTATGGTACCAAAATGTGGCAATTATATATGTGGAGAATATTGAATTGAGTATGAAGACAAATTTCTTTTGTGGAAATATGAAATATTGTCATGGATGGTGGCTTTTCAACTTTTGCTGTGGGGTTGCCACTTTCTACTCAATCCAAAAGGTCAGGCTAAAATTCACATGCTGGGATAAAAGGTCTGAGAATCCAAACAAAAAAATAAGGTGCATGCATCATATCATATGATAAACAACTAGTTTCTCCTGTTCATCAGTTTCAAGAACAATGATATAATTTTGAGGTTGCTCTCCTTGCTAGAATAAGCTAGGTTTCATGCATGATACTATTGTGCCTAATTTGGGGATCATCATATCTGCATGTGAAGTCTGAAATTACTTGCCCTCCAAATATAGAGATGGGGTTCCTCATACATGATTGGTAATATGCAAGAAAAAAATTATCTGGTGAGTAAGATTTAAGAATAATAGTTTCGAACTTATTCGTACTATTCTATATTTGAGTCAATCTATTTTTTGTGGGTGGTGAAGGGGGAGTGTCGTACTCGGAGGGGGGATTTGTGCTTTGTTGACCCATATCATTCTTGTCTGTGTTTGTAAAACATTAACCAAATTACTTTTAATTTTATTTTTAAAACATAGTATTTTATCTCTAACATAGTTGTTATTATGTGAGCGCCTCTTTTTCTAAAATAATATGACTTTTTTTATCGTGTCATATTGTTCTCATCATGTTGGGGTAGTTTCCATTTTTTTCGTCTCTGTTCGCCACCCTTTCGATTCGGCGAGAGATGTATAGGAAAAGATGAATTTGATGTAATTTTACTTAGTATTTGGGCCTCAAGGGAACATGTCGAACATATGCAGATAAACTTAAACTTTGTGCTAAAAGAATAATCCACAACCAACTCAAACGAGAAAAAGAGACCAGGAATCGCCTGGAGAAATTTGAAAACATGATTCGTTATGAAGACAGAAGGGGAGGAAGGAGATAAGACAATATTCATACGAACCAATTAAATATTTAGACGGCAGCTAAGAGACAAGACAATCAACTTCTATAGATGGAGAGTCGAGCTTGGCATGCATACACAATGCCTGATGGTTAGAAAGTTGGAGTGTGAGTTAGTCACTGAGCGTCTAAGCCTCCCTCTAAAACGGTATCTAAATTGCACATTTCTCGTAAACAATGTAGATGTCACTCATGGATTCTGGTCTAACCTCGAATAGAATTGTAAGTTCCTCTAGATTTTGCTACCGATGAATGAATGTCATGTACCACTCAAGTTTCTGAAATTTGTGTTATGTTTGCATAAATACATATTACTTACTATGTGTACGGTAGTGTATCAATACGAGAATTCTGTGCTCGTGGAAAATTGAATAAGAGAAATGGTTCTTTTGTTGTAGCATGAAAACTTATCATCTTCGATGATGGCTCAATCCAAAACTTATCAACTTTAGTGTGGGGTTCCCAGTTTGGAGTTCGACTCAATCCAAAACATCAAACTGACTCACGCGGTGGTGATAAGGGTCTGCGAATCCGAACAGATACAGTGCATGCTTCGTCTGATTCTGAGGTGCAAGCTCCATGGTTGGATCTTGTTCAGGGCCCATAGAGTTATGGGCTGAACAGGTTAATGGGCTCATTACACAAACTTATTATTAGCTAGCGGTCTGTACTTGTTATTGGCAAATTTTTTTATATGTTCCGATCAGTTTGGAGTGAGTATTACTACTTATAGTAGCGTGAAGCGCGGGGAATATTGAGGATTACTTCTTATTTGTCTCGCTTTTGCCTCCGCTCTATCATAATTTACTAGCTTAGCGCCCGGCCGTTGGCTGGATTACCAACAATTTGCCGAATTACTGATAATTTTCAATATAAGTATATTTATATTTTAATTTTATATAAACTAATCTGTGGCAAGCAAGATAAGGAATTGCATATGTTGTTTCTATAGCTACCTCAATAATTTGTTCAATCCAACTCATATCAATTTTATTTTACTTATATCAATGCAATGTATTTGCAATTGCATATGGTCTTAAATGATGTTAAAAAGAAGGAAAAAAACAGAAAATTCTGTTGTGGAAGCCCATCATCTCCTTATTAGGTCATCTAGACTTTCATGTGTAATTGTATTTGTTGCAATATTGTAAATATGAATGAATGATTGCATCAATGAAATAAAAAATATAACATCGTTGTATAAAAAAAATTGAGTTGCAAAAATAAAAGGAGAGAATCCAAACAGATGTATTCTTGTCAATTAGGCACCTCTTCAAATGCATGTGTTGCAAGGGGTTTTTGAAAGTTGAGATTCTAAAAGTTGTATTCAATAAATATTTGTATTCCCAAAATGTATGTGGAAGTGTCAAAATGTAAAACAATATATTTATTATTTTGTGTAGATCTCACATATAATCAACAAAAAATAAGAATTGTTTAGTTGAGATAGTTTTGATTGTTGGTTTTAGATTTGAGTCCCATTTTATTTATATTCCTGTAATTTTTATGTTATACTAAAATTAGAGGATATATGTGAGTCCCATAATTTAACTTTATGTTAATCATATACAACTACAACCTGAACAACTAAATAATGTAATGTCAAAATATATCTATTACACCAACACATATATCTAAAGTATAGTGATTTATTACAATACAAAGATTTAACATATACAACTTCCAAACAACTCCTACAAAAAATGAATGCGGTGGGTTGAGTGAAGGTCGAATTTTGTGATGTGGCGGGTTAAAATTGGGTGAGTCAGCAGTTCTGTTTGCCACGTCAGCAATTGACTGACGGTGTTGATGGAGACTAACGGAGAGTGACTAAACGTGGACCATTTTACTAATTCGAGTGACCACTAATGGATTTAAATATTTCGAGTGACTAAACATGAACGTTTTTAGAAAACTCAGTGACCAAACTTGCAATTAACCCCTCTTAAATTATGTTAAAAAGAAGGAAAAAACAGAAAATTCTGCTGTGGAAGCCCATCATCTCCTTATTAGGTCATCTAGACTTTCATGTCTAATGGTATTTGTTGCAATATTGTAAATATGAATGAATGATTGCATCAATGAAATAAATAAATAAACATCGTTGTATAAAAAAAATTGAGTTGCAAAAATAAAAGGAGAGAATCCAAACAGATGTGTTCTTGTCAATTGGGCACCTCTTCAAATGCATGTGTTGCAAGGGGTGTTTGAAAGTTGAGATTCTAAAATTGTATTCAATAAATACTTGTATTCCCCAAAATGCATGTAAATGTAAAACAATATATTTATTATTTTGTGTAGATCTCACATATAATCAACAAAAAATAAGAATTGTTTAGTTGAGATAGTTTTGATTGTTGGTTTTAGATTTGAGTCTCATTTTATTTATATTCCCTATAATTTTTATTTTATACTAAAATTAGAGGATATATGTGAGTTTTCCCATAATTTAACTTTATGTTAATGATATACAACTACAACCTGAACAACTAAATAATGTAATGTCAAAATATATCTATTACACCAACATATATATCTAAAGTATAGTGATTTATTACAATACAAAGATTTAATATATACAACTTCCAAACAACTCCTACAAAAAATGAATTATGGATAGCAAACAATACATACGTTCATAGAATCATTAGTTACCAATCCTAGTGAAATTTTCATTTGGAAATCCATACTTTATGTGAATAAGTAACTAAATTACAATGAAAATTATATCCATATATCATAAAAATATATCAATATATTTGAAGAACACAAATCACCTATAAGAAATTATCATATTGATCACAAAATTATTTACTCTTATCCTCTACAAATGTTTCGGATACAATAGTGCAATCAAAGGATCACATATGTCCCTCAAAAAAAAAAAGGATCACATATGAGAAGATTCAATTGGAGAATAGATAATGAAAGATCATTAAATAATATTCTCTAAAACAAAATCAAGTAACCGTAATGTAATCTCACAATTGAGCCAACAATTAATCAATCATTTGAAGCCGATTAGGTTAGTCATTTTAAATTGTTTTAGTAAAAAATTTGAGACAAATATATTTGCATTATTGGAATTATTGTTTCGATAATCGAGCCAATTACTCAATCAAAATCGACCTAATTGATCCGTGTTTAGTCTTTTCAATACAAAGTTTGGGGCACCTTACACATATGTGTAATGTTTCACCTTTTTAAGGAGTTTGTTTTCCCTTGTTAAATGTTTGACACCCTGCTTTCCAGTTTCCTCATATAAAAAGGCCAGGAGGATTTTGACAATTACTCAATCAGATAAAGAATGGGTTTAATTTAGAGAAAAATAGCGAGAGGTTGAGAAATGGATAAAGAATGGAATTGGGCTTAGTGCGCGGCCCGAGAAAAGACTGACTGACCGAGACATTTTTGCCCCTCCGATTTGTATGGACTGGCATCCAAGAGCTGATGTGTCAAATGCTGTTTTCTTACATTGCTTTATATGTTTTTGAGATAAACAACAGTATTTACTTGTATGCATCCTATTTGGGCATTCCAAAAATCATATTTTCATCCCAAAATTTTTGAAAATTCAATCTTTCAACTATTTAAACTCAACTCAACGGCTTGTATTATATCTCTAATTCATTTATGAAAAGTGTTTCGTAAAATAATAAAATATTGATGTTCCTTTCTTCAAATATTATATAAAAATTGGCAGACATGTCCCTTTTTTACCTGCGTGGGTATTATCCAACCTGGCCCGTGCTTAGTGCGATGTGAGTATGGGTGTTGAGGTATGATACCCCACGTCCCATTGTCATCACTAGATTAGAGTTGTGTTTATCCTATATACATATTCAATGGCGGAGTTTGGTTGAAGGAAAGAGGGCCTATAGCTAGGAATAGCAATAGGGCAGGTCTGGGACGGGTACCTCGATACCCATACCCGACTCGTGGCAGGTCGGTTAATTTATGATGGGGCGCGGGTCGGGTAGGTCGATCCAATTGGTATGTAATTTATATGGAAACGTTAGAAAAATTTGTTATTTTCATTATAAGATCAAGAAACAAATCATTATATGGTAAAATGTAGTTAAATTATTAAAGACATTGAGATTTTCACTAGTTCACCCCTTTATAATAGCTAAAATATGATGTAATAAAAGGAAAATCCTAAGTAATTTCACTAAAATTACCATATAATTTAGGCAATAACGGATTGATAATGGGGCGGGCCAGGGCAGGTTGGGTCGATGAGAATACCCATTCCCCCCCCCCCCCCCCCCCAAAGCAGGTCAAACAGGTCGGGTAAAACGGGTCAGGATAAAATTATCATCCCTACCTATAGCCCCCTCCATCAACTTTCAATATAGGTAAAATTACATGGGTAATTCATAACAAATTTAGGAAATAGAGTAGTAAGTAATGTTAGTGAGTGGTATAAGATCCATTATTGAACATCTCTCAACAACTTGAGTTATATTGAGATCAACCGGTTCTTGACATAATATCAGAACCTTTTGTAACCAAGAAGTCTTGTGTTTCGAATCTTGGTGACCCCCATTTGTGAAACACATGATATTTTTGTGTTAAAACTTGTGCAAACGAAACCCTTATAAATTGATTGGCTTTCGATTCATTATTGAACGTAACCTCTACCACTGTATAAATCCAGTTGGAAAGAAAGCAATGGACTGTTTGAATGGGTGTGCTCAAGACCAAGTTATGTGGAGACCGGAGACCTTCTGACCTTGTTATTTAATTTCAAGGAACAATTTGATAATGGGTTAAAGACACATTTGGTCACTGAGATTACAAAATCGGGACATGTTTAGTCACTAGAAAAAGTTAATATCAAATTTGGTCACTACAATTACTAAAACTGGACACATTTAGTCACTCGCCGTTAGTTGCCGTCCAACTCCGTTAAAAGAGTCTGTTATGTGCTGACGTGGCTAACGTGAGCGCCTAGTTAGCGTCATTTTGGGCCGGAAATGGTCAAACCCGACTCGCCATGTCACTAAACCCGCCACGTATTAAACCTAACCCAATCCATTAACCCAACCCGACCCAGAAATAAACCGTAACCCACCTAACCATACCAGAGCCCACTTAAAAAAACAAAATTGATTTGTTTCCATTTTAGACCCAAAAACCCTTCTCCTTCATCGAGAGCTCTTCCCCTTCGCCATTTTCGATCAAACTAATCCTAGAGCAGGGAGAGATGGAGCCATTAACGCTACCCCCTTACCCCTTTGTCCCAGCAACCTCCTTCGAAGTCGCGTTGTTCGTCTTCTTCGAAGTCGCGCGTTTCCCCCATTGCAGTCAGTTTTCCCCGCCGGCAGACAACGAGTCCTTCAGATTCTCCTTCGATTCGCGTTGTACTTCTTCTTCGTCACGCGCCAGCGTCAGCTTCCTCAATCGCAGCAGTGGACGAAACCCTAAATCGATTCCCCCATCGCGTCAGTTGCTACTCTCTTAGCCCCGATTGTAAATGTAAGTTGTTTCTTTCTCTTTTCTGGTTATAAGGTAGTCTGAAGAGTCTGGAAAAGAGGAAGGGGCAGATGAAAGTGAAGAAGTGGTTGCATGTTTGGTTTTGGGGCTCTCTGTTGGGGTTGTTTTATACTGAAAATTGGACTTTCCCATTTGTTTCCCAGCTCACCATTCCACGCGAGAACTATGGTGGGGCATGTGCGGGCACCAGATGCTATTCAGCCCCATTATCGTAAGTTTACCTTTGTTTTCACCCTTGTCTTTATGGTAGATAGCAATGGTTGTATCATATAGTTCGACAAGGACAACCTTGTTGTCGTTTGGGAATAGAAAATGCAGGTTTTGTGGGGATGACCAAGACTAGCAGTAGTTGTTTGACCTTCTGTCTTTGCTTTTATGAGTTTTCTCTCTTGTGTTTATGTAAAGAGCATTCTTGGGGTGTACCATTTCACAGTCAGACTTTATTATAGATAAGGACAACAGTTGGTTGTCATTTTGGAATAGAAAAATGCAGATTCTTGTGGGGATAACCAAACATTTTTGTTTCTTTTATTACAAGTGGCCTTTATGGTGACCACATACTTACATTTTGTTGTTTTTTCTTCTTAACATGTGATTGCAGTGGAGAATTCACTTTTGCAGTGCATGTGTCACTTGAATTAAAGAAGAAGAGTGACAAGCTTTTCCTCAATGAGAAGGAAACTGTATTTTGGGACTATGCCGAAATTGATGAGCTATCAGTGTTGGATTTGCCTGAAATATACCAGGCATGTGGTGGGAGGGTTAAGGATCCGAAATTCTTTTGGAAATCTCCGTGCAATAGTCCAATGACAGAGATTACTAATGACGAAGACATTCTAGGAATGTCAACTGTAGCTAATGGAGGTGAAAGAGTAATTGAACTGTATGCTATCTCCAACAATGATTTTGAAGATTTCATGGAGAATGGGTTGGAGGAAGTGAGAAAGGGCGCTGAAGTTGAGTGTGAAGTCGATAGGGACTATGATGAGGACGAACACAACGATTATGTATGTTCTGAAGAAGATCTTAGTGATGGTGACAATGATCAGTTTGAAAAATATGTAAATCAAGATGTGGAAGCTGACATGGGTGGCTTTAAAAGTGGAAATGGACATCCTGAAGCAGTTGAAGAAGAAGTTGAGTATGTGGACTCTGATGACCGTATGAGTATGATTACAGCTGGTAAGATTCAGCAAAGAGTTGCTTACTTTTCGATCCAAATGCAAAAGAATACAAGAGCAAACACAAAGAAGATGGACAATGTTTTGCCATTAGATTTGGCCCCTTTCCCATTTTGCCTATTCTCTTGCTCCCGGATCCGACGATGAAAGTTCAGCACCAGAAATTTCATATGCTCGTCAAGTAATAGGTCATGCCATCTGAAGTAATTACATACCCCATTTGTCTACAAATCGCACAGAAAAGAAAGAAGGTGAAGGAAAAGGACAGTCCAGTGGTGAAAGTACAGATGAATTGAAGGTGAGGGAAACTTACCCCGTACTTGCTGCACCCGAAGAACCTCCTGCCTGGATTGCCATCCAGCTGGTCTTCAAAGCTGCTGGATCTCCACAAAAGCAGAAGTGTCCCGCCATTAGTAGAGAATGGATAAATGGGCACTACGGAACGAGAAGGAAACGAAGGGATTTGAGGCGTGAATGAAAGATTGAAAGGCTTCTTGTGGACAAATAGCCATATAAAGAAGATAGAGGGTCTAGAATGGTAGGTGGGTTAGGGTTTATTTCTGGGTCGGGTTGGGTTAATGGATTGGGTTGGGTTTAGTGACGTGGTGGGTCGGGTCAGGTTTGACCATTTCCGGCCCAAAACGGCGCTGACTAGGCGCTCACATAACAGACTCTTTTAACGGAGTTAGACGGCAACTAACGGCGAGTGACTAAATGTGTCCAGTTTTAGTAATTGTAGTGACCAAATTTGATATTAAATTTTTCTAGTGACAAACATGTCCCGATTTTGTAATCTCAGTGACTAAATGTGTCTTTAACCCATTTGATAATTAATGGTGAATTTGATATAGCGGTATATTCGAAGTTGTTGTAGATCTAGAACATGAAGGACAAACAGTTTTTAATTAACAAATAAAGGCTTGATCTAGTGGTAATACCACTAAACTAGAACCGGGAGGTTCCAGGTTCGAATCTTTTAAGTACTACATTAATCACAAAAATGAACATATATCACCCTTATAAAAAAAAGTTCTCAATTATAGTGTCTTTTTTACCCAAACAATCTACAAAGTGATATACAAATAATATGGGTAAATTGCAAGATTGGTCACTGAAAGTGCTAAAAATTTACATTTGGTCACTAAAAGTATTTTATTCCATTTGTGGTCACTGAAAGTGGTTAAAATTTCACGTTTGGTCACTCTCCGTTAGTGTTCGTCAGCCTCGGTTAACACCATCAGTTTTTTGCTGACGTAGCTAACAGAAACACTAATTCACCAAATTTTAACCGGCCACATCATAAAATCCGACTCGCCATGTCATATAACCCGCCAAATAAGACCGAGTACATAAACCAACCTAATTCAACCCCCACCCGACCCGAGCCTCTCTTCTTTTTCCTTGTTTCCCCTTCCTTTATGAACTGCCGCCTCTATTCCCACTTTGATTCTTTGGGATTTCTGATCTAAGGAAGGACAAGCAGTGGAGAACGTCGACGACGAGTTGTGGGAGGACGACGGCATCCGATCTCCCTCCTTCCAGCTTTATTTCTCTCACCGTCGGTGCTCCTCTGCTCTCACTTCGTGCCTCTGTCTCTCTATTGGGGTCGATCCATCACCGACTTTCCATTCGGAGAAAAAGACCGAATTAAACCTTCGCCTCGCTGCTCCTTGAATTGCTGGAAATGAGAAGGTGAACCGACGATTGGGGAAGACCTCGAATTGGGAAAACATATGGTCGGAGGATTAAAGGGCGTCGTTGTGTTCGGAGGATTGGAGAGTGGAAAGGGGCAAGAGCAATCGACATTGATCTGGTTCTCATCAAAAAGTCTCGTCCAAGTTTTAATCGCAGATCTTCATCTTCTTGCTATCTCAGGTCGTCAATCGTTTGGGGGAATATTTGGGCGGAGAGCCGCCATTGAGCTTTGTGGGGGAGTCGACAAGATGGATTGGAAGAGACAAAAGGGATTGGAAGAGACAAAAGGGTTTGGAAGAGACTGCTGGAGGTCACAGAGGAGGAGGAGGAGAGCAGCGCCAAGGCCGTGATGGTGGCACGCAGGGATGGTATGCGGCGGCGATGGTGGTGGGAAGGTGGGTGGGGTCTTGTCGGTTCGAGTAGGGTTGGGTTATGGGTTGAATAGGGTTAGGTTATGCAGAGGGTCTGATGTGGCGGGTTAAAATTTTGTGAATCAGCGTTTCTGTTAGTCACGTCAGCAAAAAACTGACGGAGTTAACAGATGCTGACGGAGACTAACGGAGAGTGACCAAACGTGAAATTTTAACCACTTTCAGTAACCACGAATGAAATAAAATACTTTTAATGACCAAACCTGAATTTTTCATCACTCTCAGTGACCAACCTTGCAATTTACCACAAATAATATTGCCAATAGGCAGGGCTAAGATCTGGTGACTAAGGGAGGTTCCCTTACTCACATGACTAAGTGAATCTCAGCCACTCAACCTCATTAAAATCTAAGGGCTGAAATTAAATCCAATATAAGGAAGGACAATGTAGTAGTTACATGGTTTTATTAATTTTCAATTATTAATTAATAAAAAAACTTTTTTGCGGCGTCTCTTCCGGCCGGATATTTTCCCGGCATCTCCTTTTTCCGGCTGTACCAGGCGTCAGACCATTTGGCCTGGAAAATCTCAGCCACTCAACCTCATTAAAATCTCAGGGCTGAAATTAATCAAAACTAAGGAAGGACAATGTAGTAATTACATGGTTTTATTAATTTTCAATTATTAATTAATCAAAAAACTTTATCCCGACGTCTATTTTTCCAGCGATACCAGGCAGCGGATTTTTTGCGACGTCTCTTCTGGCCGGATATTTTCCTAGCGTCTCCTTTTTCCAACTATACCAGGCGTCGGACCATTTGGCCTGGGAAATATATATTCCCCTTCCATAATGGAGTTTCACCCCGCGCCGGACCATTTGGCCTAGGAAATATATATTCCCCTTCCATCATGGAGTTTCACCCCGCGCCGGACCATTTGGCCTAGGAAATATATATTCCCCTTCCATCATGGAGTTTCACCCCGCGCCGGACCATTTGGTCTGGGAAATATATATTCCCCTTCCTTCATGGAGTTTCACCCCGCGGGGGGCCGGGGGGGGGGGGGGGAGAGAGAGTTTCGTCATCGGCGAATTTTCTGACGACATCGTCTGTTTTGTTATGTTTGTTTGTCTAGTTTGTATACTTTATGTTTGTGATTTGTATACTTTGTATTCATTGATTTGTAATACAAGTTACTGTTTTGTAATGTAAGTAGTGCAATTTTGTACGGTTAGTATGTTTTTTAATGTTTGTCGGTCTAGTTTGTATTGTTTGTATAATTCGTATGTTTCGTATTGTTTTTAAATCTGTTTGTATGTTTTATCGCCTTAGTTTGCATTGTTCATATGTTTGCATGGTTTGTACTGATTGTAAGTCCGGTTTGTATACTTCGTAATTTTCCATAATACCCAAACTACCCCTGTCATTAATTAAATAGTCATTCCCACTTTTTAACCGTCTTGTATCTAGATCTAAGGGCTGGGAGGGACTTAATCAAGTGACTAAGCATCCCCTCGTCGCAGGATCCTAACTCAGATAGGCAGGCCTTAAAGCTTATTGTCAATTCCAATCTTTTTTAATAAAAAAAAAGAAGATAAAGACGAAACAATAATGAATTTTGTGATGAATTATACAACAAATTATCGAGAAAGTAGGACTAATTAATTAATCAACTTCTTCACCAACTAATTAATTAAACAGACAGCCTATTCAATTGCCTTCTAGATCCGCGCTGTGCGTGCATGTCCACGTTAGAGATTTAAAATTTAATACAGAACCAAGGAAATTAAATTACATTGCAAGTTAATTAAATATTTATGATCATTAGTAAATTACTCAAACCAACTTGCCCTTCCCACGATCACCTGCTAATTGCTTAACGTCGTCGTATTGATCATGATCGTGATCGAGACCGCCGGCAGCCGGCGGAAGAACATCCACGGCGGCGTTAAAGATCAGATCCATGCTGTTCGTACTACTGCTCCCCGAACTAAACATCGCCGCCGCCATATCCGTCACCGGGAACTCCGCCTGATGAATATGATCTCTCCCTCCTCCTCCTCCTCCGCCGCCGCCGCCGCCGCCGAGCCTGAACTCCATCGCCCATCTGCCCATTGACGAAGAGGAGTTGGCGATGAGTTGTTGTTGCTGCTGCTGCTGCTGGGCGGTGGCCGCGGAGATTGCCTGGTGAAGGGCTGACGTGGTGGCGGCGGTGAGCTGGGCGTCTGGCGGCGGGGGAGCGACGGAGGGCGCGGTGGCGGACATGTGACAGGTGTGCTGGCCTCTGTAGGTAACCTCGTAGGTGTCCGGGTCGTTGTCCAGCCGCTGGACTTGTTTCTTGGCTGGGCAGTGGTACAGCTTCTGATGCGTGCATCTAAAGTAACCCCTGAAACAAGAAATACCACAATTAGGAATTCGTTATAGCAAGATTTCGTCTAAGGTGGATCCATTTAGGGAAAAAAAATATACGTGATTTTCTTAACTTTTTTCAGTCATCCATGATATCTTAATTTGGAAAACAGGATAGATTAAAAAGCACTAGTAGTGGAAACTAAAAAAAAAATATCATTATCGATATTTCAAACAATTATTTATGATTTAGTTAGTCGTTTTTTTTAATCGTATACCAAACCATTATTCATGGTTTAGTTGGTCATTCACTTTCGAATGAGTATTATTTGTCAAGAAACTAGAAATGGATAAAGGACATATACTACATGAACTAATCTGTCAACGTTCTGTGTATAGACTATAGAGCAATGATTGTAAAACTGCATTAGATGTTGTACCAAAAAAAAGTTAGTGATAATATTGTATTTTGTTAATTCATGATTCAATCGTTTCATATATATTGCTAAATTGTCTATTGACTTATGCTACGATATACGGTTTCTCCTATCGCATACCATATATATATAAGGTACGATTTTGCAAACACCGGTATAAAGATATACGATTTCCCCCCAAACATATGCCAAGAAGACATAAAGAGATATACGTATTTGTTAATAAGAATACATAGTACAGCTACTAAAGCGTCATTGACCGAAAAATAAAATTCCGAATAAACAAGAAAGTATACGGGCTTAAATATAGCCAATAAGAAGAAAGCGCCATAGAAGAAGAGATCATCATCCTATTGACGATGGAGCTGAACCGGTAATACTTGACGACCGCAAATTAATATACGTAGAAATGGTTCGTTTATGTGGCGACGACTGGCGTTTACCAGACCATTATGTACGTACGGCCAGTGATTAATTGGTAGTAAATAATTAATGACAAAGCTGAAAAGTAATTAATTAAGAGGGTGGGGAAAAGAAAAAAAACAACCCCATCCAGTCCACGTCATGGTGATCGAATTTTCATGGTTCGTTTGCCCAACACAGAAGTAGTCGGGTCAAGTCAATGGCATGGAATTTTGAGCTGGTCGGATACTCCAAACACAATACCGGGTCAAAAATCCATGGTTTGAAATCAACGATTCAAAGGGCTTTGATTCTGGAATGGTAAGGGTTTTTGAAGAAGAAACCATAATTGATGGTGGTTACTGCTTATCAATCAATCCATGTTGAATTCATATTGAAGTAGACAGTTAACCTTTTTTTTTCCCTTCAATACGACATATCATTATTAGAGTAATCTAGTACACCACTTGAAATTAGGATTCATCATAAACGAATAATTGGAAACCAATCTAGTTAGCGTAAGTGGCGTAATCAGGATTTGAGTTTAGTGAGGTTCTATTTACGAATAAATTATATAATATTGTATTCAAGTTCGCTTCCATTAAATACATCTGATCAAATGGTTATTTCTCGTATTAAATTAAATATCATTTATTTTGTTGTGTCCCTTCTCGTATAATTTATAACTGAAAAGTGACATTTCGATAGCTAGCTAATAAACTAACACATTTATAGACATATCATAAATTAGTTTATGATGAAAGAAATTTTATCTTAACAGAATTAGTGGGTTGGGTCAAAAGTTATTTTTAGTTACAGTGAGATGGGTTTAGATAAATGTTTTAATTACGGTTGAAAAGTTGAGGATTTTCAATGTTCTCCTATTGATAAAGTCTTATTGATTTATGTATATCATAATGTTGATGAGAGTATGATTTCGTAATAATGGGGTCCTGAGTTCTCAAACTACTCATACTAAACAAGTAACTATATATATAACCCTATTTATTTTTCCAAGTGGGGTCCTAGGACCCCACTGCTCCCCGGCCACCTCCCTCCGCCACTGGTTAGCGTTACTATACCTTGGTGTCACATTATTGGATGATACGTCTTGCAATCCATAGACATTACTGTGAATGTGAATTACGAAACGCTCTATCCATCGATGTAATCACGTGCTTACACTATGAAGCATAAAATATACCATGACCGAATATAGTGGAACTAGCTCCTAAAGAAAGATGTAGAAATATATGTGCACATGTAATAAGTTCTATTTTGTGATAATTAAGGGGAGGCCTCAAAAATATAATAAGGCATATCTTGGTCTCACTAAGTTAATGCTGATTTAAACTAGCTATTACGACAAGTAAGTCAAATACACTCATCACTCATGTCTCAACAAGTCACAAATGGATTCTCTCTACCATAGAATCTCCGAGCCAGTGTAACCTGTAGCTAGATTGCATTCATGCATGCATATTCCTCTAAAAAGAGGATACTGCAAATCAATGACAGATTTTGTGAATCATTAACAGATTCTATGTATCTCGCATTTGAAATTAGGGCGATATTGTGCTGGACCCCATGTCAAAGAGAGGGTATTGATTACTAGGGATGGCAAATTACCCACCCATGGGTAATTATACCCAAACCCAAGTAGACCCATTGATAATGGGTTGGGTATGGGTGAAGCGCATATGGATTTTGGGTTTATAGATGGGTTTGGGTTTGGGTCTTCCATAATCTAAATGGGTATGGGTTGGATATGGATATCCATTTACTTGAGGGTGTTTTAACTACACATACAATAATTGGACCTATTTGCAAAACTTGAAAAGTTTAGGTACCAAAATGTAAGACCAAAAAAATTTAGGTACCAAAACATAATTTTCCATCGATATTTTGAGGACTTATATGCAAAAAAAATTAAATTTGGGTACTAAATATGCATGTCTATTAAGTTTGGGTACCAAACTGTAATTTGTATTTGGGCATGAGTACAAACCCAAATCCATTTGATATAAACCCAACTCAACCCAAAGTAAATGGGTATGGGTACAAACCCATCAAACTCTACCCATATCCATCTATTTGGATTTCATACCCAACCCAATTGGATTGGATAGTAAAAAACCCATAGGTATGGGCAAAGTTGCCATCCCTATTGATTACTCGACTCCATGAGCACTTCTACTATGCTATAAAACATTGGTGCTTTAATGTACAACTTAAAGTTGTACCATAACGTTAAATTTATAATTTCATGTTGTACCATAAAGAAATTTGTACCCTTTTGTTATGGTACAACTTTATCACATAAGGTACAAGTTCAAGTTGTACCATAAAAGAATTTATACAAAATAGTATAGGTACAATATGAAGTTGTACCATAACCTTAAAAGTACAATTTCAAATTATACCATAAAAACAAAAACCTATAGCATCAATACTATATAGCATTGTAAAATTCCTCCGAATCCAATCCATTGGTAGAAAAAAAGCTCAAATTTAAGGTCGTAAAAATCCAGACAGAGCCAAAGATTGAAAGTATCAAAGTAAACGAGGTGCTTACCGTGGAAATCTAGAGCCGAGAATCTCCTTTTGGCCATATTTTCTCCAAGTGAAACCATCCTCCGGTGGGACTTCTGTGTTCCCAATTCGAGGAACCGGTACCCTTATCGTTCGTCTCTCTATTTCGTCCCTCCTGCAAATATATCATTCAATATCGTCAAAAACTTATTCATAGGGTTAAGGGGAAATAATTCAATTTTAATTTTATTAAATTAAACATTGGTAGAAACATAATTAAACAATCTGTTCCTATTGCAAATTACATTTATAGCATTTGAAAGGAAAATAATCCTTTCTGATTAGATGTGTTAGGCTATGCTACGAATTAGCATGTATTTAATTTTTCTGGCTACGAACTGTGTTGTACATAGAGTGGCATATAATCCTTGGTCGTTTAGAATTCACGTCCTTTGAATTTATAGAGTGACTTCGCTTTGAGGGGTTAATGGGTAGTACTGTTTGCTAATATTTCTCTCCCGTTATATCTTAAGAAAAGAAGAAAAAAATCCTTGACGAAGCAAAAGAAAAAGAAAGAAAAACACAATGTGTGTGCATATAAGGAAATAGTTTAAACTAGATGAGACATCTCGTTCACAATATGTGTTCATACAAAGGAAATCATATTTATGTCTGAATAAATGTTGTGTTAATTAGCAGTTTCTACGACATGCATTCCACGTTCATATTCAATGAAAACTAAGAACAAATGCATTATATCCTATATAGTTTCCGCCTATGCTGTATCCATATCAAGTCTTGTTTATGTGTTTGTCATGTTGGGTTTGTAGGTCTAGCTAGCAATTAAGTAGTAATTAGCTGAAAGATAGAGGGAATATATGGTAAGACTAGAAAATTTTGTGCACAAGCTAAGAGAGTACTTAAGGCTAATGACTCGGTCGCTTTTTGTTTCGGTTGTTTAGGATGCATGCATATGAAAAGAAAGAAAGAAAGAAGACATCAAGACGTGTATTTTGGAATGCAAAAATGTGATCAACCCGACTAATCAATAAAATACCAAGGACAGAAGTTTTGCTTGCCTTCTCCTCCGTTGCTGAGATCCGGACGACGAAGACGCTGCCACCGCCCGCACCGCCGCCGAATCCGACCCATCCGCCACCGTACCGGCCGCCGCCGCCGAAGCGCCGCTGCTGCCAGTGCAAGCAGCCATATTCTCGAGAACCTGCGCGTGGAGCCTCTCCATGGCGGCGGTCCTCAGCCACTGCTGGATCCCGCTGTGGTGGTCAAGCACATTATTGACCGCCTGCGGAGGCTGAGGAGGAAGAGGAGGAGGGTTGCTCTGTCGGAAGAGAAGCTGCAGCCTGTCCTTGCAGGTGAGGAAGACGGTGAGTATCTCGTCGCAGGATTTGGCTAGCGGTTCGGGGTTTTGGGATAAGTGGACGAGGTTGGATTCCAGCTGCCGGGCTAAGTTGCAGCCGTGGAGGATCAAGGCTAGGGTTTGGTCCATTTTAGTGTGGGGTTTTTTTTTTTTGTGTCGTTTGTCTAGCCAGTTTTGGTTTGTTTTTTTATCAGGTGGGTTGGTTCTGGGTAATATAAGGCAAAAAAAGGGGAAGAGAGAGGTGCATTTGATTATATACTTGGTTTGGTTAATAAATGGGTTGTGATGAATAATTTGGTGGGTCGTTCAAAGTAAAAGTGTGGGTGTGTATGTGTGGGTGTCTTCTACACGGTACAGAGAAGTAGAAGACGGAGAAGACTGAGAAGGAGAAGAAGAAGAAGAAGAACAGAAGGAAGAAAGGGAGAAGGAGGGAAAGAAAGTAGGAAAGTTTGAAAATATGACCAAGTCATCGGTCTTGCTACTTGAACACTATCGACCAAAAAAAAGAAGAGGAAATTCCCATTGGGAGTTCTTGAAATGCACTTTTCCCCTCAAAGTTTGTAAAACGTTAAGGTATTTGAGAGTACTGATCGAAATATCGTCAATAGAGTAGGGGTGGCCGTTCGGTTACCGGTTACCGGTTAACCGGCCGGTTAAACCGATAACCGACCGGTTATCGACTAACCGGTAACCGAAGTAACCGAACTTCGGTCGGTTATCGGAGGCTCGACGACATGGTTTTTGGTCTTAAAAATGGGTCGGTTAACCGATAACCGAGATAACCGAGAAACCGAAGCCTATTTCGGGCGATTTTCGGTAGGAAGAGTGAATATTTCGATTAACCGATAACCGGCCGATCGGTTATCGGTTATAACCGAAATGTCACCCCTACAATAGAGTATAAGAACAATGCAGTCAAAAGCGAGATTCTACCTAGAAGCGGAAAATGGGTAAAATCGTAAAGCGTAGAATCAAAGCGTAAAAGCGTAAGTTTTTGACGCATACTGAAAAAATAACTAAAAATGTATTAAGTAGGACATATGCTATGCAAAATATGAATGCATAGAATTTAGATAAGTCAGTAAATACATGCGATTCATGACTAAAGTAGAACAACTTATAGCATCTTAATAATAAATTTGTAAACATAAATTTTAACAATAAGCCACTTTTCCACTATGCTAATGAATTTGGGAAAAGCCTAACAGGTGAATTAGATTACTCTATCGAAGTTGAGAATGCATCCAAATACCTTATATGTATCTTTTAATCTCAAATGTATCATATTGTTGGTGATTTACTTTTAAAATATACTTTTCATAATTAATTTCATGAAAAGAATACTCATTTAGTGAACTAAAAGCGTAAAAACGTAAAGCGTTTTGAAGAACTAGAAGCGTAAAACCGTAAACTTTTAAGCTTTAAAGCGCAATTTAGTCCGATTTCATACACTTAAGTTTTTATATGGAAACGAAAGTGTTTTGGTGACCTAAAAGCGTAAATCGTAAGTTTTTAAGTTTTAAAGCACGATTTTGACTGCATTGTACAAGACGGTAGGCGGTTTTTCAAAAGTTATGATGGATTTTATACCACTTTCTAACATGTCCCCTCAAATGAAAGTCAACCCATGGGCTTGAAGTTTGTACAGGCGATCACCATACTTTGTGTTTTAATCAATTGTTAATATTGAGGGTCATGTAGATTCGAACACACGACCACTTGGTCAAACCAGCTCCGATACATTGTCATAAATCAGTTGGTTCCAATAACTCTAGTTGTTGAGAGAAGATTATGATGAATCTTATGCCACTCTCTAACCGTTTCAGAGATATGGAACAGTTCGATCACAGTTAAAATACGGTTTCAGTATTAAACATATCTCACGACTTACTTTTTTTGTGGGGTTTTATATTTTTTTTTTCAAATGGGAACTATAGCTCTCATTTACATGTCGCTTGATTTGTTGGCTCGAAAATCTATCACTCCTTGCTAGTTGTAGTATAAGTGAAAAGTTGGACCTAATTATACTCGATTATTCGTCAACACTCATTAAACTATGGTGTTCAAACATATTGATTAAACGTGGTAACCATATTAATCGGTAGCATTCGGTTAATTTGGTGTGGTTAATTTGGATAATTGGTTTGGTGTGGTTAAACAATTTAGCTTATTTGGTTTGGTTTGGTTTTAACATTGCTAACCAATGAAACCAATTAACCAATTAATTATACACTTAGTATACAAAATTATTTATACTTTCATGCAACCAATCAAACCAAACTTTCATAATTCTCTATTTTATTTCCATGTTCACAACAAACCAAAACATTATAGGTAAAAAAATTAAATGGGTCTGCCTATTTACTAACCAAAACATTTTGGACAACTACTAGACTTTAGGATTACTTACAGTAAAATGGCAGCCACCTCAAACTATGTAAAGTTTAAGTGTTTTGTATGAGAGCTTTAACTTCCTGATGAGTGGTATTGGTATGTATTTAATATTTATATTAAGAGTTTTGTTGTAAGCTAATATTAAGTGCAGAGATGATGAATGATGTATTAACTCGAATGATAATGATAATCATGGATGGTTAGTCTTATTATTATTGCTTATATATAATGTTAGTTTATGATAATAAGAACATATGGTTATTTTTTATTCATTATCAGGATAATTATTTTCATGTAATGTTATGTTATTTGGTTAATCCGATTAACCAAACCAATTAAACTTTGATTTGGTTAATTTGGTTTTCGTGTTAATTTGGACGGTTTGGTTAAAACATTTTATTCCATGGTTGATGAAATTTAGGCTTAATTATTTTGGTTATTACCACGGTAACCATTTGAACACCCCTACATTAAACACATGGTGTTTTGAATTATAAGAATTTAGCCTCCGTGTCAACATAATTCCGAAAACTATTAGCATTAATTGAGTCATGCCCTTTTGTTTCCTTTTTATCTCATAAAAAACTCAATATAGGGTGCATAACTTTAGGATGCATAACTATGAGTAACCAAATATGAACCCTTCTTTTAAGTGGCTGCAGATCTAAGGGTGGAGAATTAAAAGAATTTATTTTCCCTAGTTTTCTTGATTGGATCATATCTTCTTCATTCTAACTCGATTTTTTTTTTGCTCAGATGTAATGAGTTTGTTGTGCTCTACAAAATGATATTCATTTTCAATATTTTTTTAGAGAAAAAATTTCATACCTCTCGTTACCAACTCCATACCATATGGTATCTCCTTCGTTTTTAGTCGTTTTCGAAAAAAAATCACAGAAGGAACGATTTAATTTTTCTGGGTGAAAAAATTTCATACCTCTTGTTACCAACTCCATACCATACTATACCACCCTGGTATTTTTTTTTTTACAACGAACATCATTCATTTCATTCCAAACCCAAACAATGGGAAGCACAACTATTACAATAATGGAGCGACAAGGTCGGCAATGAAAATCCATTCTGGAGGAAGGAGATCAAGACGAGAGTTCCTAGCGATCCAATCAGCTAACTTATTGAATCGACGAGGAACAAACTCAATCGAGATCCAAGGAGAAACACAGAGAATGGAAACCACACGAGCAAGGGATGCCTGACACTGCCAGGGCCAAAGGCTCGGATCCTGTATCAACGCATTCGTCAATCTCTGACAATCAGAACGGACACACGTTGGGACAGGATCCTGGGCCGCGCCCAGATAACTGCATTAAGAATCGCAAACGCTTCCCCTTGTAACGGAGAAGAACAAAAGAATCTCTCAGCCTTCCCGTCGATAACCTGACCGTGGGAGTTTGCAATAGCAATCCCATAAGTTGCCATCTGTGCATCAGAAACAAAGGAACCATCACAATGCACAACCTTACTGAAAGGACCAGGCGGTGATAAGGTCGACGACCGAGAACTCCCTAGCTGAGAAGGCAAACCAGCTGGACTTGAGGAGGATTGAGCTGAGGATCCAATCCTAGCTTCTTGAACATTCATAACATCACGTTCAGCTAATATTGCCACAGAGGGCGGAGAGAACTCCCGAACCTCAAATACCCACCCATTTCGAGCAATCCAGATATTCCAAAGGGAACACACAATTTTGGTAATCTGGCCAACGGATACCCTGTCTTTTAGTCCAAAGAACCAATCCACAAAGCAAGAGTCAGCCACAGGAAGCACATTCAACAATCCAAGCCGATACCAAGTCTCAAGCGCCTTGGAGCAGCGGAAGAAGCAATGCATAATTGTTTCCACTTGGTCCTCACAGAGTGGGCACAACGGGTTAGGAGCACACTTGCGATCAAACAACCTCACTCGTGTTGCAATTGCATTTGTACTACATGTCCAGATGAAAAAATGAAGCTTGGGAGGCAGCTTGAGATCCCACAACCACTTCCAATCATCTCTGTTTGGTCGAGAAGAGGCACTCAAGTCAATGACCGGATTGGAATCTCTATTCTCTCGAAACATCCGATAGGCAGACTTAACACTGTAACCACCTGACTTCGTTAGACGCCAAATCCAGCTGTCCTTAGCAGTACAGGGACCGATCGGAACACGGGCAATAGCTTGAGCAATCTCATCAGGCACCAAATTTTGAATGGCATCCATTTTCCAGCTTCGAGAATCACGGTCAATCCAATCACTAACTTTGGATGGCTCCAACCCCAAGTGAGAAAGGTTGTAACATGGAATGGAAGGAAGCCAAGGGTCACAATGGAACCAAGAATCCTCCCCAGACATAATCCCTCTTAACAAGCCACTCTTCATATGTTCCTTCGCCTCACACAACCCATTCCAAACCCAGGAACTCTTTCTCCCCTTCGTTGCCGAGAACAACTCATAATTTGGAAAGTAAAGCCCCTTTAGGAGCTTAGTCCACAAGGCATCGGGGTTATCAAACAGTCTCCAAACCTGTTTTCCAATAAGCACAAGGTTGAAGAGATGGAAGTTCTTGAAACCAAATCCTCCTTCTTCTTTAGGTTTTTCCAACTCCCTCGCATTGCACCAATGGATGGCCTTTCTCCTCATGGAACCCGACCAGAAAAATCGTTTCAGGATGGAGTTTATTTTGTTCGTTAGGTTTAAAGGCAGAAAGAAAACACTCATGGTATAGGTTGGTAAAGCTTGGATAACTGCCTTCAGCAGTACTTCTTTCCCTCCGGGAGACAATAAAAGGCTCTTCCAGGATTCACCTTTCTTTTCCATTTGCTCCAACAAGAACCTGAAAGTTTCTTTTTTTATCTTCCCCACTCAGTTGGAACCCCCAAGTATTTGTCGTGACAAATAGTTGGTGGAAACCCAAACTTACTGCTCACCAGACTACGGATAGCTTGGGGAGTGTTCTTGCTAAAAAAGATTGATGACTTAGACGCATTGATTTCTAGCCCCGTGGTATTACCATACATTTTAATGATATCCAGAATCCTATCCGCTTCCATAACACTTGCCTTTCCAAAAATGACAGTGTCATCCGCAAACAAACAGTGAGAAATTCTTGGGCAGTTCTGATTGAGCTTGATTCCTCGGATATCACCTTTCTCAATACCCTTTTCAATTAAGAGAGACAGAGCATTGGACATAAGGATAAACAAGAACGGAGAAATGGATCACCTTGCTGGATGCGGATGCCTCTGGACGGCAAAAACGACTCGGTAGGGCTTCCATTCAAAAGGATAGAAAACTAGACTGTCCTGATACATGCACGAATCGAACCCCTCTATTTTTCCGAAAACCCATAAGCCAGCAGAATAGAATCAAGATCATCCCAATCCACTAAGTCGTATGCTTTTCGCATATCCAGCTTCACCATCATATCCCAGTCACCATATCTATGATTTTTGAAGTTATGCAGCATCTCATGAACAATAATGACATTATCCTGGATTAGTCTTCCACCTGTAAAAGCTGCCTGCATCTCTGAGACTAAACCCGGTAGCCACTTCTTCATTCGACCCGCCAGAATCTTGGAAATGATCTTATATATGAAATTGCAGCAACTAATAGGGCGGAATTGTGAGATCATCTCCGGAGCAAGAACCTTAGGGATAAGGGCAACATGAGTATCACTCCATCCCTGTGGTATAATCGAAGTTCTGAAGAATTCAATAACTTCACTACAGAAATCTGATCCAATTTTGCTCCAGATTTTGCGGTAAAACGACCCAGCAAATCAGTCAGGACCTAGTGATTTTGTAGGACCAAGGTCGAACACCGCAGCACGAATCTCCTCAACAGTCGGATCTTTGTCCAGATCTATATTCATTTCATTGGAAACCAGCCTTGGAAAATCTTGAAGGGCATCATCATTAAGGCAAGCTTTCTTAGTAAACAATGCTTGATAGAATCCCACAACATGATTAGAGAGTTCTTCCGGTTGGCTAATCACGTTCCCGTAGTCATCTTTCAGAGCAGAAATTTTATTTCGAAGCTTACGGAGAGAAGTGGAGGCGTGAAAGAACTTATTGTTCTGGTCTCCCACACTAAGCCAATCAACCCGAGACCGTTGGCTCCACAACAATTAATCATCCTTCCAAATTGCAGCAAGCTCATCCATGAGGCCTCTCTCTTCTTCAATGACTTCCACTGACCGATCAAGCAGGAGAATATCCCCCAACCTCGTCTGGATTTCCTCAGCCCTTTTATTCTGGTCTTTAAACATCTATTTAGCCCATCTAGTCAATTCCTTCTCGCATTTCTGCAGTCTTTCCTGGCATAAGCCCCCACCATCCCCGTTACGGTTTACTATATCAAAGCATTCCTCCTTATGAAGCCATCTTGTATCGAAACAGAACGGAGCCCTAGACTTACTTCGATTCCCTTCAAACTCCAATCTCAAAGGACAATGGTCAGATTCAATTGGCAACTCATGAAAAATCATAGCATTATTGAACATGGAGACCCACGAAGTGGAGCAGAGTCCTCAATCGAGCCTCTCTAATACGTCGCATCCCTTCTTGATTGTTTTTCCACGTAAAGGGGTAGCCCTTAAACCCCAAATCCATTAAACCATTCTCAGCAACAAAAGATTTAAAGGGCACAGTAGAAACATTCCTAGGCTCATTCCCACCCTTCTTCTCCTCAGCAAACAACGCCGCATTCATATCCCTAATAACCACCCATTTATCATCAACATTAGTCCTTAGGTTACTAATTTGATCCCAAAAATCCCTCTGTTGAGCCAGATCAGAAGGGGCATGAACAAAAGTAATAAAAAGCCCCCATTAACATCAACATAAACATCAATAAAATAACAACTACTATCAAGGATTGTGATAGGTAACCCCGACACCCACCAAAGAGCTAAACCACCAGCAATACTGATCGGATTGACCTTGAATTCTTCAGCAAACCTCAAACTTCTTCTCTTAGACTGCATGTAGGATTCTTCCTTCTTTGTCTCAGACAGAAATAGGAAAGATGGATGGTATTTCTTTACCAACTTCCTCAGTTGGAATCGGCCACCATAACCACGGCAAGATTGGGTTCAAATCCTGGCGGGATCGCATGATCATCATTGTCAGCATTTCCCCCAGCATCAGCTTGAACAACAGTAGTCTGCTCAGCCCCTTGTTCACTGAAATGGAGACCAGATGTCTTCCTCTTCTTTTTTTTGGATCCATGGGCTGTTGTTAGTAGTCTGCCTTCCTTGTCTGTGTGGATAAGAATTAGCAGCAGGTTGGGCTCGATTTGGGCTGGGGAAATAATTGTGATTGAAAGTAAAAAGGTTCTGGGCTTGGGCGGGTAGTGGGCTTAGGTTAGGGAACTCAAAGCCCGGGGGAGGAAACTTAAAACTTGGTTTAGGTTGTAGTTTTGTGGAGGCGGCAGAGACTGGGGGAACCCAAACAGGTTTCTCGCTACACCATCTCCTTGGGACGGGGAAGATAAAATCCCTAGGTTCTGGGTAAAGGGTGGGAAGCTTTGGGGAGAGGGTGAGAGATTGACAGAGTTATGGAAGAAATTCGTAGATGGGGATAGAGGGTAGTTCTGGAGTGAGGCGACAGGTCAGTGACATGCGAATTTACCAAGGGTTGTGGGACCATCTTAGCGTAGGAGGGGGTAGCTCCGGTCGTGGTAATCGGTGGCAACTGAAGGCGACCTCCGCCAGGGGAGTTAGAAGTCGATGCCATATCTCTGATTACCATCGCTTCACCCTCCTGCTGCTTATTCGTTCGCGGCGAGACAAGCGGTAAGCTGGCCCTCAACCAAGGACCCCATCTCTGGATCGCTGGTGGTTGTAGCCCATTCTCCTCATTGATTCTCCTCTGGTCACACTCCAATCTGGTATGTTCAATCCCACCACAGTAGTAGCATAGTGAGAACAACTTCTCATACTTGAATTCTACTCAGGTCCTTTTTGTTGATGGCGGATGTAGAATCCATCTGGTATCGGCTTCGAGGTATCCACCTGGACGAATACCCTCACATATTTCCTATAGAGCTGCTCGATCGATGTCTATAATTTGATGGAACATTCTGCTAACCATGGAAATTTTGCTTTCAGATCTGTATGCTTCAGGGAGATTGTGGATTTGAACCTAGAAATCCACCATCTTGAAGCTGATTTCCCTTGCCGTCTCTAGCCCCGACAGCTTCCTCACTTGCATCAGCGTGCTAGATATAGGACAGGGTCTCTCCAGCCAAATCGTCTCCATCTCTTCCTTCTTCTCGACGTCCAGAGTGAAGATATTCTCATAGACTGGTTGGATGTGTGGCATCTCTTGGGCTTTTGGCTTGGGATTATCCACCCAGGAAGATCTTATCAAACCTCTCAAGGCCCTTAGGCTCACACTACGCTAAAAAAAAACTTTAACAACAAAGGAGAAGCGATTGGTGAGTCTCTCTCAACATCCTGAATCATTTCAATATCCCATTCCCCCGCTCGATTGATCAAATCATTCACACTCATGTTTTTGGTGCTTTCCTTCCCACTCTATGTTTTCTCAGGGTAAACTGGTATGGTTGTTTGCTTATAGTTGAGTAGAAGATCTGAAATGGTGGTATCTATTTTTGAAACTAGTCTTCCCCTTCTTTTAAAGCCCTTAGCTTTCTTGAACTCTCCCACAACTGCTTTTACTCCAGTATTTGGTATGATTAGACCGGGTTTTATGGCTACCCCAACTCGCTTGGCTATCTTAGTTGTTCCTGTTGCATTGAGTAGCTCGAAAACCTTCCCCCCCTCATTAATGGAGGTTCGAAGAGATTGATATTTGCATTTGTTCTTTTTATACCTTTGAACCCAGGGAACCAATAACTTCCCCCCACCAAACGTGCAGAGAACCAATAACTTACCCCCATCAAATGTACAGAGCAGCAGATCATCCATAAATCCCTTTGTTGCAGTCGCTGTATTCGATTTCTGCACACCTAGCTGGCTTGGGTTAAGCACAACACCTCAACATAAAAATCAGTCAGAAACAGAGATCTTCTCGTAGGGGATACAAAAGTATACATCTTCACAGTCACATCTTCACAGTCACCGCAGTAACCATTAAAGGGGATCAAATCATCTCACTGGGGGAGGAGGATCAACATTCAGACCAGGTCTGGGAAGCAACAACGGCTAGAAAAATTTGTTCAAACAGGAGAGAGGACAGAGCAAAAAGAGAAGAGAGAGAAATGTTGACCAACCTGAAACCCAAAAGGAAGAATTTTTTTTATGGAGTGGTATTTTTCATACCATATGGTATGTTGTTATTTAATATCAGTCAATACCATATGGTACAGTTAATCAGACCGGTAATAACTGACAATTTTTTTTGTTCCAAAAAATTATCAAAGTGGATATCATTTTGAAGAACACAATTAATCTGATCTAACTGTGCAAAAAAATTAATTTCCGAGTTAAAACGAGTGAGAAATCATTCGTTAAAGATTAAGGGAAGGAAAATTAATGTTTTTAGAGGAGAGAGAAGGAGACGCTAATGTGACGGATTCTTATTGAGTTATGCATGAGGTTATAGCACCAAAATGTTACTCACCGGCAGTGGCGGAGGCAGCATTCAAATCAACCCTGTCCTATTTTCATAACTTAAATATATAAGTATCTAATAAAATAATTATTCAATAAAAAATAATTATATCCAAATAATTCATTCATAAATTAAAAATAACCGATTATACTATCATACTTTTCAGAAACAACTACGAAAGAATTTCATATAGTGAAAGAAACGCAAAAACATTCGTTGTCTACTCTATTATATAAGTCTCTTTCAACGTATCTTACTAAACAAGCATTAGCAAACTGGTCGCCAAATCGACTTGGAAACTTGTTCTTAATATAAATCAAAGCTGAAAATGCTCTTTTTACACTTGCAGTTGTAATTGGTAGATCAAAACTAGTGGGATTGCCGTTGTCACTAGACAATTTCAGGGTTGTTGGGGAAAGATCGAATAGGCATAAGGAGAAAAGAGACCCGATTAGGTCTTTATTGCAATTGGAATTTCGTTTATTGTATAATAAATTAATTTATGGCAATTTTGGACAAGTAATGAGTTGTGCTATAGTGACAAAGTACTCTAATACTACCTATACGTGTTGTGTTCCATCACCAATATAAATATATATGGTGTATTTTTGTTCCACCGAAATTTACCCCTGTCCCGGGATAAGGCCAAAAGGCCATGCGTCCGCAACTGCTCACCGGATCTGCTCCCATAAAAAAACACATATTATATATATATATTAGGTGTACCTTCTTTTTAAGACGTTTAAATTTGTCTCTACTTATAGAAATCGGGGGAAATTTGACCTACGTAAAAGTAGGTTGTGTTAATAAGATACAATGACGATATCATAACTAACACTGTGGATATTCATACTAAAACTTATGAATGCATGCACTTTCTTAGTCATACTAGCTAGCTAGCTAGCGAGAAACGTTTTTTTGCCAGCAAGTACATGCATATATATGTTGTTACCCGGAAAGGGGACCAACCAATAGCTGATTAATTGCGCATATAACAGTCAGAAAAGTTCCAAGAGACGAATGTGTGTTGGAGAGAGCACACACAAGTTATAAAGAGAAATGTCTTCACGTTTGAAAAATATTCAAGCTAAGGGCAACGGACTTGTTCTTCGATCGGGACCAGAATTAATGGTCCAACAAAACAATGGTCTTGACACTCTATTTATAGTATGTTACTCTATTTCAATAAATTCATAGCGAGACTGTAAGACCAAGGTCGACTAGGCCCGATAGATAATTGGATCTGAGCCACTGGCCCATCGTGGTTGGGCCTTATGGCTGTTGAGGAAGCTTGGCCCAGCCTTTGCTAATTGTTTCAACTTTGAAGCTTTCAGCCGAGCGGTAATGTCCATTCATTTAGGACGTGAAAACGGCGCGATGTAGACCGGACCATTTATACGCTCTATGGTATAGACCAAGAAGTTAGAATATTAATCACAAACTATACGGTCCATATTAGAACACACTCAATAAAAATTAAACAATTTGTTTGGTAAACTAAACAAAAAAATTGAAGTGATAGTCAAGAAAAAAATTAACCTTTTGCTTTGAAACCTGAATTCTAATATGCATGAATAATTTTGATTTTTGACACCCTAAATCTCAGTACCTAATAAAGATACAAAGTCAAAACATCCCTACTTGTACCATAACGTCATAAACATTAACATAATGTCATATAAACACACGAGTGCCTCTACTCTCTGAAATGTGGCTGGGAATGAAGGAGGGGACGGGATTCTCAAAATTAAGGTTGAGACTTGGGAGAGTGGTCGAGTAGGTTGCTAACACGTATTGACAAGTCGATTAGGTCCACGGTTTGGTCCGGCAAACCGCGGTCAAGACCAGACCAAGAGATCAAAACATCATATAATAAAAATCATGGACCAGACTAAACCATACTTAAGCTAATGGTGTATGGTCCGGACCAAACTGTGCGATTCGATTTGGACCACAGTTTTTCTAACGGTCTGGTCTATTTTTTTGGCCCTAATTCGCTTCCCAAATTTCGGCACAAGTTTTAGTGTAGGTTGACCGAAACTAACTGAGTGCGACTAAGTTTGAAATATTTAATTAGTTTTATCTAGGGGTGTCCGTTCGTGTTGGGTTCGGTTACCTGATAAAATCCGAAAACCCAAACTCAAAATCATTGAAAACCAAATCCAAAATCGATAAGGATTTTTTTTATTTTCGGTTACCTGAAATCCAAAAAATCATTATCAGACTAAGCAAACCCGAAACCAAACCCCTAAGAATATGGGCCAACGCCCAACTGTTATTCCTTGAGAGTTTTCAACCGAAACCCAAAAAATTGGTAAGTAAAACCAAACCCAAAACAAAAAATCCAAAACCCAAAACAAACCCGAACCCAAAAATCCAGCACCGTACCTAATCAGTTTGGTTCGATTAAAACCGAACCCGAATAGACACCACACCCCTAGTTCTAGGCTTCTAGCAACCATGAACAGAATAAAACATTTTTAGTGACTGAGCATTACTTTTTTCAATAATCCAGTGACCAGACTTGTAATTTACCCATTGATTTCGCCATTTCCAAATTCTTTTACGTTTTCAATCGTCTCTTCTTCCTTCCTGATTTCTGTCAATTCCTTTTCTTGCAAGCTCTCTTGTTTGACAGTCGCAGATCGAATCTGATCAAATTCCCAATCAACCCTCCCTCCCCAATCTCCTTTCTCCTCTTTCCTCGCAGATCCTCCCTCCTCTTCCGCCGCTGCGCTGCCGCCCTCGGCGTTTCCTAGTCCTCCCTCTCTTCCGCCAGAATTCACGTAGAAGGAGGAGGAAAGCTGGTGGAAAGGCGCGAAAATGCTGAAATTCCTCAAGGGAGTGGTTGGTGGATCTGGGACGGGGCTCAAGGATCTCCCTTACAACATCGGCGAACCTTACCCTTCCGCCTGGGGCTCTTGGACTCACCATCGCGGCACCTCCAAGGTTACCCTTCTCTTCCTGCATTGCTTCTGCTCTCCAACATCTATGCATTTGCTCGTATAGCTAGGCGTGATTCCTGCGCCATTGCCAAGTCACAGTTATGTTTCGTTTTGTTACTGTGCTTCCTCCATGTCCATCTCTGCGCTGGCAATATCCTCTTCGAGCTATTTTGCTGCTGTCCCAAGTCTGTTTATGCGAATCGAGTATGCGTGGTGTTGGATGCCTCACACTGTTCTTGATTGTTCTTCAAAACTTCATATTGAAATTCTCTTCTCGGCGGACTACTTGCTTATAGAAATGCAATGTCACGACATACCAACCGTGATCCCTTAGTTTCAGAACTTCTATAGGGTGTTGGATATCTCTGCTCCCACACTGTGCTAGTAGCTTGCTGTTTGATATATCATTAGGGTGTTGTGTTGTAACTTTGGAGCTTATTTGCTGAACGGATTCAAGTCAAGGAGATGAAGGAGTGAGGTGGTTTCTAATCAGGGGATTTTTCAGCTTGGCCTAACTTTGGTGAATTTTGGGATTATATTTCGACGAAAGAGGAGTAATATTGAGGATGTGTATCAATCTACGAAGTTTTGGCTCGTTGCTCCTTCTATTCTTCTTGTCGTGCAGTTTGTTGATGCTGGTATATATTTCAGGATGACGGTTCTCCAGTGTCAATCTTCTGCCTCTCTGGAAGTAGTGCACAGGATGGACATTTAGCAGCTGGTCGTAATGGGGTTAAGCGTCTTCGAACTGTAAGTTTACTTGGTCTGGAGTTGTAATCGAGTTCCCCTTGCATGCTATCTGGATTTTTTTCCTAACCTTTATGGTTTTAAATTCATTTGATGAGGCCATTTATGGTTTGCAATAGCACTAGAAATTCACTATAGTGTCTCCTGAATGTTTTTTCATTGCTTCTTTGCAGGTTAGGCACCCTAACATTCTATCCTTTCTTCATAGTACCGAGCTTGAAACTGTTGATGGCTCGATGTCCAGGATTACTATATACATGGTCACTGAGCCAGTCATGCCACTTGCTGAGAAGATCAAGGAACTTGGTCTGGATGGCACACAAAGGTATGCTGTTCCAAGGTTATGTTATGGTAATGCAGGGAGGATTGAACTAGTGTATAGGGATTTGTGAACTTGCAAATGAATTTCAGCTGCATGGATTGATATGCTACGGTTCAGATGTTGTGTAACATGACAGAACTTCCATTAATTATATGTTTCGAGAAGATTTCCTTACAAGTCAATGGTTCACATTTTAGCCGGATAATTCTTTGGCGGAGTAACTGTACATTTTTTATAGAACTACATGCAGTTCTTGTTTTAGGACATGTAACCCTGTCTTAGGCGAAATGCTAGCGTGCTTTGCTTTTGTTCCCTTCTATACCACTGCTCATGGTTTAATATGGGTGGGCAAGGTTCATCATTAGTTCCAGATACATTTCAATGTGAGCTTCGTTTCAATAAATGGATCCTTAGTTTCTTAGAATTTGGACAAGGTGATGTGGAGAGCCAATATTCTGTTACAAGCTTGAGTAACAGATGATTGACTGTCCTGGTTAGCAAATGATGTCTCTCCATTCTGTCCTTGCTCAGTTTCAGCTTCCATAAGTCGGAAATCCTGATGTACTGTACAATTTTGTTTTGACTTCTAATGCTTATGTTGCAGGGATGAGTATTACGCGTGGGGGCTGAACCAGATATCTAAAGCTGTCAGCTTCTTGAATAATGATTGTAAACTTGTAAGTTTCCTGAAACTGCTAGTTAGTTGGGTAACATACAGAATGTCTCCTCTCCTCGCCCCTCTCTTCCGTTTTGTTCATCCTTAGTCGTGTCAGTTTCTAATTGTATTTTTCACAGGTTCATGGTAATGTTTGCTTGACCAGCGTGGTTGTCACACCGACCTTGGACTGGAAGTTGCATGCTTTTGATGTCCTATCAGAATTCGACGGGAACAATGAAAATGCAAATGGGCCTATGCTGGTAAGGGGACAAGAGTGATATATTTATTTGTATGATGTCTTGCACATTGATATTCACAATCGTTGCTTTATTTTAGTATCTCGGGCATCCTTTTTGTAGTCTTTATGTTGCAAAATTCAGATCTAAAGATCTTGGAGTTCATGATAGTCTCAGATTTTTTTGGTAGACCATAAATCAGACTAGTGCCTCCTTGTACTTCCATACCTTTTCAGCTAAAATTCAGCTGTAGTTGTTTTTGTACTAGTTTTCAGCTTTCTTTTTCATCCTCCCAACAGCAATATGAATGGATGATTGGAGCACAATACAAACCAATGGAGTTGGTGAAGTCTGATTGGGTTGCAATCAGAAAATCTCCACCTTGGGCTATTGATGCTTGGGGTTTGGGTGAGTCTTCTTGACATGAGCTTTTTATTAATCTTGAGCTAATTAATGATTGTTTGTAGTTTATTTAGCTTATAGTGTGCTTTCGCCTTTTGGGATGATGTTCTTTTGAAACCATCTTGTTCCTAGTCGACTGAACTAAGTTGGTGTCATAAAGCTTTGCATGTGACGTCAACTGGATAGATGAATTGGATTTGTCCATCATGTTCGCGTAAGGGCCCTTGTGCGCAAGGTGATTATTTGTGTTTCGTGATTTTGATAGGCTGCCTTATCAATGAACTCTTTTCTGGTACGAAATTGGCAAAGACGGAGGACCTACGCAGCACTGCAGCCATTCCTAAGGTATGTTGGTTTTGCACATTTATTTCTCCTATTGAGTGTAATTTAATCTCAATTCTCATTTTCAAGTGTTTCTGCTGATCTTTTTGTGTTCCAGTCTTTGCTTCATGATTATCAACGACTATTGAGTTCTATGCCTTCTCGCAGGATGAATGTATCAAAACTCATTGAGAATGGCGGTAAGTGGTTTATTTATTCATGTTGTTATATTAGGTAGCTTTAGATGAGTAAATAAATTCCATGTACAATGTGGAAATGTAGCTTGCATATTAGGTTTGGTCTTGTGAATAGGAGAGAAGTGGCAACTAACTATTATGAACATGATAAGTAGTGAGTAGAAAGACAAAGTGAAGTGGTTATGTGGGGCTATTCCGTATTTGTGCCTAAGGGATCTTATCTTTCCTGGTGCATGAGGTGCTGGTTTACTGCTTTTGAGGAAGATTAGGAACCTCAACCTTTCTGTTAATATCCATCTTTATTGTTTCCGACTTGTTTGGATTAAAATACTCGTGATTGCGGTAAATAAGAGGAGAAATACATAGTAGACAGAAAGATGTAAATGATAATATTGATGAAAAAGTAAAGGCCAAGATGAAGGTAAAATGAGTGAGGATGAATTGCCATGTCATTAACTGTCTTGCTCATCCAAATATGAGAGATTATAATCTTTAATTTATAGACCCCACTTGATACAGATGGGAGCTCAACTATCTGGATAGACATAAATGGCTGTCATTATCCCTGTTGAATTCAAATTTCTTTGCATCCTTTGCATAGCTAAAATGAATTCATATTTCAAGCCTTGGTCGTCTGGTGTCTTATCCAGCCTTTTCTTTCTTATGCATGTTTTTACTGTTTTTCTGTATTTTTATCTTTGTTGGGGCCTTGGTCTCTTATGCTTGTCCATTTCTATTCTAATTTCAGAGTACTTCCAGAATAAATTGGTGGATACCATACATTTTATGGAAATTCTTACCCTGAAAGACAGTGTTGAAAAGGATACATTCTTCCGAAAACTTCCTAATTTAGCAGAGCAGCTCCCTCGTCAAATCGTACTTAAAAAGGTGCGAACACTGAATCCAATATGTGTGCATCTGTAAATCATATGCTCCGTTTTTCTCTTCACTGATTAGGTTTTGTCATCGTCAGTTGCTTCCTTTATTAGCTTCTTCCCTGGAATTTGGCTCTGCGGCTGCCCCTGCTTTAACTGCATTGTTGAAGATGGGTTCCTGGCTTTCGGCTGAAGAATATACTCTCAAGGTCGCTTTTTATGTCTTTTCTCTGGGGATGATTACTTTTAATCAATTTCTATTTTTTTCAATATATATTGAGCGCAAAATGACTATTGACTTTTTCATGGTTTTTCCACCCTTCATTATACTTCTCTTATTTGTAGGTTTTGCCAACAATTGTAAAACTTTTTGCCTCCAATGACCGTGCTATTCGAGTTAGTCTACTTCAGCACATTGACCAATATGGGGAGTCATTAACTGCACAATTAGTTGACGAGCAGGTATCCTGTAGATGATCATATGACTCTTATTTTCATTTTCATCTAGTTAGACCTTTACTTTTGAGCTTTCTCCTGATTCTTGGTTTTAACTTTGATATCACTAGGTTTATCCTCATGTTGCGACAGGGTTTTCTGACACATCCGCTTTTCTTCGTGAACTGACTCTTAAATCCATGCTTATCTTGGCCCCTAAGGTAAAGTTTATACTCTAAACTAAAGTGGTCCTTTGTTGTTGTATGATTAACAGCTTTGTGTTGTCAATTTAATTCTTCACCTTCTTATTAAACCTGTGTGTTTTTGTTAGCATCTTCATGGATAATTAAATGGGTCCAATCTCTTGTGCAAAGTGATTCTTTGTGTCTGTACTTACATACCGCATAGCAGCTTTGTACTTGTATCCTCACGATCTTCATGGAAGTAAGGAAGCATATATTATATATACCATTATGGAACCTTGGATTGGTCAAGTAAGCAGCATCATATTCTAGATAAAATGGGAGAGAAATGAATGGAACATAAAAAATATCAGAATTAGAACTGGAGAAATGTTAGACCAAGAACACTTTATAGTTCCTGTTGCTAGAGTGCCATATTCTTGCTTCCACTTCAGTAGTTATTCTTACTTTCTCGTCAATTATTTTATCTTAGACTCCTGGAATGTGTGATACTAAGGCAGCATAGCTATGTGTGGGTTCGTTACATAGACATCATTATTTGGTTATGATTTTTTTTTGGTCACAAGGAATAATTTTGTATGTTTACTGACTCCTTTATGATATGATTCTATTTGACTGGATGCTTGCAGCTTTCTCATCGAACTATTTCAGGCTCCCTTTTGAAGTATCTGTCAAAGTTGCAGGTATTTTTCTTGTATACTTTTCCTGTTAATTCTTGCAATTGCCTGGATATTGTCTGCACAAGATAAATAACATAAATGTACGTGCTCACCCATTCCCTTAGGCCTGTCATCAATATAAATCTTCTGGATTCTTATTCAACTTTCGGATGCAATTGTGACTTACTCTTGGTGGTGGTAAAAAATGATCTGGGTCAATATATATGCACTTATCAGAACCGGAACTCCTCTTGATATCTCTTAGGCACTGAACCTTCTCCTTTTATGAAAGGCACTTGGTCGTACTTCAGATGTTACATTATGATCATTCCTTGGATTGTGCACCAATTGATATTGTGCAATATGAAGCTTTGTTCCTTTGTTGTTGACATATCTGCGTTGCTAATTGCTGCACATGTTAATTTAGATATTCTTACTATAATAGGTATGAATGAACGTGGAAAGCTGAATAGTGTTAATGTGGATGTAGATGAATTATGTTTATGTTTTAATGTCTAGAGCAATATAAAATATAGTGGTGAGATAGCCTATCAAATATTGATTATTATACCAGGACGAGAGGATCTTAAATTGGGTAGTGAGGTTAAAAGATAATTTTACTGATTCTTGGGGAGAAAGTACTTGAATTAGCCTGTCAATCCCAATTTGTACGGATATTATCTATGTGGGCACTAGTTATTACTCCAACTTCTGTTTTTTCTTTTCATCGATACTCCGTCTTCTGTTGCTTATATTTTTCAAACTTCAAATTCTTGTAGGTTGATGAAGAACCTGCAATTAGAACAAATACCACCATATTGCTTGGAAATATTGCAAGCCACCTGAATGAAGGGGTAAATATGAGTTGGATTGTTATGATATCACATTTCTAGTTGTCCCAAGATGACTATCTGTGTGTTGTTTCTAATTTCACATACTTTGAATAATTTTAATTTCCTGTGTTCCAAAACAGACAAGGAAGAGAGTTCTAATAAATGCTTTTACAGTCCGTGCGTTGCGTGACACTTTTTCTCCTGCGAGGGGGGCAGGTACTTTGTTCATTTAATTCTCTTTCTTTGTTGTGGGAAAAATTCATCGCTTGGCAAGGCTATATTTATTCCTGTTCTGCAGTTACCAACTGCTATTAGGTCCTCAACTTTGCTACTTCAAGTACATGCATTTGCTGTATTGTTTAGTTCGCTTGGGAGTCGTGCTGTTTTGACTTTATACTGTGCTGACCAATATGAACCTGTAATGTTGCAGGAGTAATGGCTCTGTGCGCTACTAGTTCTTATTATGATGCTACCGAAATAGCAACTCGGATCCTTCCAAGTGTCGTTGTACTCACTGTTGATCCTGACAGGTTACACGGATCACCTGCACTTTGTTATTATCATGCACGAATGTAGGTGAAATTGAAGGCTTGCTTCTTTTGCAGTGATGTTCGGGCAAAGTCATTTCAAGCTGTTGAGCAATTTTTGCAAATTGTAAAGCAATATCATGACAAGGTAGGTTACCTCGGTTATTGGTACCTTTATAGTTTGTATTCTGTTTCAATAATATAATGCACAAATGATATGGAATTCTAATTGAGCGCGCATGAGTGCATTATATTCTTATCTTAGTGCTCAGAATTCTTATGTCCTGCCTTTGAACTTAGCCATTCCCAGATATCTGATGTGCTCCTATATGTTGCCTTCCTCTTTTATTATTTTACAGGCAAGTTCAGGAGATGATGATATGACCATTGGAATGTCATCTATTCCAGGAAACGCTGGTTTGCTCGGGTAAGTTGAATTCTTAGTATCGTTTCTGTATGGAGATTGTTAAATTGATTTGGGTGAATGTGGTTGGTGTATCTGCTTTCATGCTTGTTTGTTATTGATTTTATCTGTTTCACTTCCTCCTTGAAGAAGAGCAAAAGCCTTGTGCAATAGCAACGTTGTTGCATTTTTCAAGGTTTTCTGTTACTTTTGTACTTAGATGATGCCTGCTGTTTGTCCGATCAGAAAAGCAAAAAGAAACCTCTCTTTGTACATATATCATGCTGCTGATATTATTCTGTGTTCAAATTCCGACTTCTGTATTAGTCTTTTGAAAATGCACAACTTACGCTTTTAAATAAGATGTGGATTTTAAGTAGCCTTTGGGATTTTAGAGGCCATTGAATGTTTAAACTTCTTTTCAATTGTCACAGAATGAGTTTTTCTTGGTCCATTCAATGTATAATTAAAGCAATGACTAAAACCTATGTTTATTCTTTTCTTTTTCTATAATGAAATCTCCTTATATTCTTCTGACAACAAAAAGTCTTCTGTATTCTGATGTGTTACAACTCTTGAGACATTTTTGGTACTTTTCCTGTTTATTTATATCGTACACCATGATATAGAATTTGACAATTTGTGCTTTATATTTATTTTTGTAGATGGGCTATGAGCTCTTTGACCCTGAAAGGCAAGCCTTCTGAACAAGCAGCGCCACTTGCGCCAGCAAATTTGGCCGCTCCTCTGACTTCTGCTGCCTCTAATGCCAGCTCTGGTAAGTACCCTGAATTCTTTCGGTCCTCTTAGTTGTGTAGTTGTGCAATCATACACAATTTAGTAGATGCGCCAGTCAGCGTGCTTTTGTATTTCATTTCAGACACATTCTGTAACTCTTGTGCAAATCCATACCATGAGAAAATTTAATGTTTGTGTTTTACATCTCTTGGTAGTTGACCCAATGTCCATTGAGATGCAGTGAACCCTAGGATGCCAATGCCTTAGATGTGCCATCGTTTGGCATGCACCGATAAGTTCTTATCTCAATTTGATAGGTGATGTTGTAGAGTTAAAAACCCAAACAAAGGTGGGCTAAAGAGTTTTGCTCAGCCAAAAACTTGGAAGAGGATGAGATTTAATCACAGAACTTTGCTTAACCAACTTTGATTTCTTTTCATTTGTGTTGTGGCATTGTTCACAAACAATATCTGATACTGAAATCTCTGTCGGTCTCCAGTGATGGATACACAAAGTACAGTGTCGGATCATGCAATGTCTAGCATGGATTTTGCTGATCAACCAGAGCCTGGGTCACCGACTTCAACTGATGCTGATGGTTGGGGAGAAATCGAAAATGGAATTGGCGAAGATCATAACGTTGAGAAGGATGGTTGGGATGAACTTGAACCATTGGAAGAGCCTAAGCCATCCCCGGCTCTTGCAAGTATTCAAGCTGCTCAGAAACGGCCAGTTGTTCAACCAGTGTCACAGGCAAAACAGCCAGGTAATGTCATTCATGTACAGTGATGAAGCCTCAAACCCGCAAGGGTCACTATCAATCACTTCAAATCCAACATCCCTCTAGATGAGAAACATGCAAAAATTTTTGTTTTATGTTTTGTCATGTATGTCGATATGTTTTTTCTCAACATTACCTTGAAACCTATGTCAAATCTAACTGCTCTTCTGTATTGTATCTCACCAACTTCAGCCACAAGTTTGAGACCAAAAACAACGGCGAAGCCACCAAGAGATGAAGATGATGATTTGTGGGGCTCAATAGCAGCTCCTGCTCCAAAAACCGGATCAAAACCGTTGAATACTAAACCAAGTGCTTCGTTCGACAACGATGATCCATGGGCTGCCATCGCTGCACCTGCTCCCACCACGCGGGCAAAACCATTGTCGCTTGGGAGAGGACGAGGTTCCAAAACTACTGCACCGAAACTAGGCGCACAGAGGATAAACCGAACAGGGTCGTCGGGTGGTATATAATTTAGAAACTCGGCAGCAAGCGAGTGATTGCCCCTTATCGAATGGTAGTCGTGTACGTCTTTTTTGGTCTCCACCTTAGCGACTGGTCATGTTAAAATTACGAAAGTGCTGGTCGCCCGTTAGTTTGTATCATTTTCTTCGAACAGTTGAGTGGTAACATCATTCTTTTTTCTACCCTACAGATGGTATACAGGAAAAGTCAATGTTGTAGAACAACTGCTTTAATTGAACAAGGGAAGTCTTTCTTGTGTTGTCGTATAGAACTAGATGAAGAGTATGGTCGGCAGTGTTCAGATATACCATTTGTAAAACTGAGATGTGTTTTACGTGTACTCTTCTGAAGACGGTAATGGTTTTGAGAGGGTTACAAATACACAAAAATGTTTGAGTTGCACTACGGTAGAAAGTAATCTCAAATCTACCCGTCTACTATTGTGATAAGTATACTTGTGTCCCATACAAATTAGCAGTTTGTATGCACATACATTTTGAATTTTTAGAAGCAAGGTTGTCAACTCGGTTAGCATGTTGGTTCGCTTGAGCAAGTGGGTTGATAGTTGATGATCTGATTGTTGTAGTCCGAGTTGATCCGGATATAAGAAAAAAAGTCATTATATTGTTAATATATTATAAAGGGCTAATACCACTGGGAAACCCGAACTATTAACTTTGTGCCATTTGTGTTCTAAAGTATTCGATATGACATTTGTGTCACAACGTATGATAGTTGTATGTCGTTTATGTCCTGACGATTTCGTTGACTGTTATAGATAACGGGTGACCAAACGGAAGTCAACATTACCATTGACTTTTGATGACGTGGCAGCCACATGGATGCCACGTCATTGACACATCATATTTTTTACTAAAACAATAAAATTAAAATAGAAAAATTATAAAATAAAAAAGCAGGGGATAAGTGTTGTGTTTTATATGCTGTTGTCCCACCAGGCTACGTTATGGGCGCCGGGGATGGCTCGCCACTGGGATTTTCCGGTGTTCCTCCGGCAATAATCGCCGCCGCCAACGCCATCCCAGCTCCTCCTTCTGGGGACATCACCACCGCTTGGTCGCCCAATCTCTCCGCCGCTCTCTACCGTGTCGACGACTGGGGCGCAACTTACTTCGCGGGCTCGGGCTGCCGCTTCCCCTAATCATCCGCCTCCCAGATGTGCTGAAGAACCGCCTGGAGTCTCTGCAGTCGGCGTTCGATTTCGCCATCCAATCCCAGGGGTACGACGCTCATAACCAGGAGTCTACCCTATGAAATGCAATCAGGAGCGGTTCGTTGTGGAAGACATCGTGAAATTCGGGTCGCCATTTCGGTAATGGTTGGAAGCCGGGTCGAAACCGGAGCTTCTCCTCGTCATGAGCTGTTGGAAATGTATATTTGAATAGCTTTGAAAATTATAGAGTCTCAAGTGGAAAAACTACCACATTGGTAGTTTTACTTGGTGAAATGTGTATAAAGATAGGAGCCTATCTCCTAAGGGCATGCCCCTTGGGGTGACCCACTTTTGTGGGAGAGGGAGGACCTAACGCACCACCACACACACGGGCGGTTTTAATTAAGGAAGTAATTATCTTTCTTAATTAATCCGACTTATTCCCCAAGCAAGAGGGTATATTCCTAGGGGTTCGGCTCCTATAAATAGCCGCCTCCCCAGCCCCTCTAAACACAACACAACGAGCATAAACACAATAGAGAGAGTGTTCAGAGAGCTCCGATTTTCGCACAAAACCGCGACTATTGAGAGGAGTTGTTTTATCCTGGAGACGACCGGTTGATAGTCTGCCGTGCGCATCGAAGGCAGTGCCGTGAACGTCTTAAAGAGAGCGACCTAGTTCGCGACTCAGCTCCAGAGAGAGCGACCTAGTCCGCGACTCAGCTCCAGATTCGGTAACCTCGTTCTTGTTGTTGTTCCGTTCCTAACAATTTTAAGACGTTCGGCTGCTGCTATGTCGACTGAACAGAACAACATGGCCGGATCTGGTGCTGTCGATATCAATCGACCCTTTCGCTTCATTGGGGTCAACTTCCGTCGCTGGAGACAAAAGATGGAGTTCTACCTGACGACCAAAAAGTTGGCACACTGCCTCACCAGCATGCCCGTCGAGCTGCCGGAAGAAGCGACCGATGAGGAGAGGGCTGCTTCTGCTAAGGAAAGGGAGCATGACTTCCTGTGTAAGAACTACATCCTCAACGGCCTGGCAGACGATCTCTACGACTACTATGCGGATAGCAAGAACACCGCGATGATGATCTGGGACGCGCTTCAAAAGAAGTACGATACGGAGGAGGCTGGGGCTAAGAAGTATGCTGTCAACCGCTACCTGCGCTACCAGATGGTGGATGACAAGTCTGTCGAAGTTCAGTCCCACGAACTTTAGAAAATAGCTCATGAGATCGTCTCTGAAGGTATGCCTCTGGACGATCAATTTCAAGTTGCTTGCATTATTGATAAGCTGCCTCCTTCGTGGAAAGATTTTAAGAATATGCTTAGACATAAAACCAAAGAATTTTTACTGGAAAGTTTGATTACTCGCCTAAGGATTGAGGAAGAGTCCCGCAAGCAGGATATGAAAGAAGAGGTTATGGTCGTCACTGCTAAACGACCCACCCTCAGAGCTCTTAAACCTAACCAGAAAGGGTTTGAGAGTAAGAACCAGCAGGTCCGCCCCCACCAGAATGGTACCTCTCGAGGTAACCAAAGGACCATGGCCCAAACCTCTAAGAATGACCCACCATTTATCTGCTATAACTGCGGAAAACCGGGTCATATGGCAAAAAAGTGTAGGAACAAGCAAAACCCCGCCGCTGCGGCCAGGGTTAACTTGACAGAAGAGGATTTGGTAGCCATGATCACAGATATGATCGCTGAAGTTAACCTCACCGGTGACTCAGAAGAATGGTGGCTGGATACAGGTGCATCGAAGCATGTATGCAACAATCGTGCTATGTTTAAAACATACACAGAAGCACCTGCTGACAAGAAAGTGTTGTTGGGGACTACTCACACCACTATGGTTGCTGGTTCTGGTGAAGTGGAGCTGAACTTTGCCTCTGGGAAGAAGATGGTGCTCAAGGATGTGTTGCACACTCCAGAGATAAGGAAGAATCTTGTTTCGGGATATCTTCTTAATAAGGCTGGGTTTAATCAATCTATTGGGGCAGACTTGTATACCCTAACTAAGAATGGGAGTTTTGTGGGAAAGGGATATGCATGTAATGGGATGTCAAGTTGAATGTCGAAATTAATAAGATGAATTCTTCAGTTTACATGTTGTGTGATTTGAATGTTTGACATGCTCGTCTTTGTCATGTGAACACACGAATTGTGAAGAATTTAAGCAAGCTAGGACATATCCCTAAACTCTCAATGAATGAATTTGATAAATGTGATTTCTGTAGCCAAGCTAAAATAACGAAAATGCCCCATAAATCTGTGAGTAGAGAATCAGAACCCTTAGATCTGATTCATTCTGATATTTGTGAACTAGATGGGACGTTAACTAGGTCTGGCAAGAGATACTTTATCACTTTCATAAATGATTGCTCTGATTATTGCTTTGTTTATTTGATGAAAAACAAAAGTGAAGCCCTTGATATGTTCAAGATATTTGTGGTTGAATTTCAAAATCAGTGCAATCGAAAGATAAAAAGACTTAGGAGTGATAGAGGATCAGAGTATGACTAATCCCTTCAAGGAATTATATAGCTCACATGGTATCATCCATGAAACCACGACACCATATTCACCAGAAATGAATGGTAAAGCTGAGCGGAAAAATAGGACGTTTACAGAATTAGTTGTGGCTTTTATGCTCAATTCTGGAGCTGCTTCTTCTTGGTGGGGTGATATTTTGTTGACGGTTTGCTATGTGCTAAACCGTCTTCCAAAAACAAATAGAAAAGAATCACCCTATGAGATCTTGAAGAATAAGCCACCTAATCTGTCCTATTTAAGAACGTGGGGCTGTTTGGCCTACGTAAGAATTCCGGATCTTAAGAGGATTAAGTTGCCTAGTCGAGCATATGAATGTGCCTTCGTTGGCTATGCGGCCAATAGTAAGGCATATAGATTCTATGATTTGAATGCTCGTACTATAATAGAATCCATTGATGCTGATTTCTTTGAGACACGATTTCCATTTAAAACGAGAAATAGTGGGGGTAATGTACTACCCGCTATTAGAGATAACGGAACTAGTGGGGGTGTTGGATCTGAGGATGAACTCAGAAGAAGTAAAAGGGCTAGAATCTCTAAAGATTTTGGTGATGATTTTACTACAGTATACACCCTCGAGGATCCAAAAAGTTTGCAGGAAGCATTAACTTCCATAAATGCAGACTTTTGGAATGAGGCCGTTATAGATGAAATGGAATCGTTAGAGGCTAATAAGACTTGGCATCTAACAGACTTACCTCCTGACTGCAAAGTCTTAGGCAATAAATGGGTTCTAAAAACGAAACGGAAACCTGATGGTGCAATCGAAAGGTTCCGAGCTCGCCTAGTAGTTAAGGGCTACAGGCAGAGAGAGAATATAGATTTCTTCGATACCTATTCACCAGTATCTAGAATAACATCCATTCGTGTCATGATTGCTCTTGCTGCCTTGAACAATCTCGTGGTACACCAAATGGATGTTAAGACTGCTTTTTTGAACGGTGATCTAGATGAAGAAATCTATATGGAACAACCAGAAGGGTTTGTTATCCCCGAACATACCTCGAAAGTCTGTAAGTTAGACAAATCATTATATGGTTTGAAACAGGCTCCAAAACAGTGGCATGAGAAGTTTGACACGCTCGTTCTCTCACATGGCTTTAAGGTGAATGAAAGTGACAAGTGTATTTACTGCAAGTCAGAGAATAACACTTGTACTATCATATGTTTGTATGTAGATGACATGTTAATATTTGGTACAAATATTCACGTGGTCAATGAAGCGAAAGCCATGTTAAAAGAGAGCTTTGAGGTGAAATATCTGGGAGAAGC